AAGAACAAGGAAACCAGGCTCAGCTATAGGAGGCGGTCTCAAAACAAAATAAAAACTTTACTATCTTAACCACTTTTCATTTTTTGGGGGGGGAGGGTTTTTTTTTTTTTTTTTGGTTTTTGTTTTTTTTAGACAGGGTTTCTCTGTGGTTTTGGAGCCTGTCCTGGAACTAGCTCTTGTAAACCAGGGTGGTCTCGAACTCACGGAGATCCACCTGCCTCGTTTTTGTTTTATTTTTGAGACAGGGTCTCTCTATGAAGCCCTGGGTATCCTGGAGCTCACTGTGTAGACCAGGCTGGCCTTGAGCTGACAGAGACCTACCTGCCTCTGCCTCTCAAGAGCTGAGAATTAACCACTTTCAAAGTATAGGTCAGTGGCTTACAACCATTTCGAAGGCTGTGTAACCACCACCAACCCCAATGACTCTTTCATCTTTCTCTTATTTTTTCTAGACAGGGTTTTTCTGTGTAACAGCCCTAGCTGTCCTGAAACTTGCTCTTGTAGACCAGGCTGGCCTGGAACTCACAAAGATCTGACTACCTCTGCCTCCTGAGTGCTGGTATTAAAGGTGTGCGCCAGCACTACTTGGTTGACTCCTTAATCTTTCAAAGCAACCCATTAAGCATCTCCATTCTCTCCCCAGCACTCTGGAGAAGGGCGTCTGTCTTGTTGTACTGCTGTTTTAAGTAGAATCAGGTTTAATTAATATTTTAAGATATAAACCTAAGCACAAAGGTTAAGCACACAGGATAAGACACACCCAAGGGCATGGGTGTGGACTTCAAGACAGGGTCAACCTGATTTGTTCTTTTGTGCTCGTTTTTTCCAGGAATACAATCCCAATCTAAACTTGCTGAGGTGTGTCCCATGGTGTGCCAGCCTATCCTGGAGATAGTGCATGGGGGAAAGGGCACACACTAGGTCTAGCCGGATCACAGGGTCCACTCATACTACAGCCGCCGGCAGGGAAAGGCCTGCCTCTTGTCATGTTCCTTACATCTTTTGTTCCTGTTCTCCCATTACTGCCTGCCTGCCTGCCTGCCTGCCTGCCTTCCTTCCTTCCTTCCTTCCTTCCTTCCTTAAGATAGGGTTTCTCTGTAGCTTTGGAAACTGTCCTGGCACTAGCTCTTGTAGACCAGGCTGGCCTCGAACTCACAGCGATCCCCTGCCTCTGCCTCCTGAATGCTGGGATTAAAGGCGTGTGCCACAACTGCTCAGCAATAGATGTTTTTCTAACTGTGCCTTTTGATTATTTGTTGAGAGAAGATCTCATCTATAGCTCAGGTTGGCCTCCAACTCATGACAATCCTGCTGCCTCAGCCCTACTGAGGGGCGGGATTATAGGAATGTGCCGCCACATCTGGATCAACTGTACCACTTCAATTTTTTTTTCCCTCCATGTAGCCCCAGCTGTCCTGGAACTCTTTTTGTAGACAAAGCTGGTCTTGAACTCAGATGTCTGACTGCCTTTAGCTCCCAATTGCTGAAATTAAAGGCATGAGCCACCATACTAAGCCCATTTTAATTCTTTTGTTATTTTCTTCTTCATTTTAAAGTTATTTTGTTGGTAATTTTCTCTCTGGAGTAAATTAAACATCCATATACACACATTTTATCAGGCTGTCACTGAGTATTCCTGGTTAGCTTGGAACTCTCTATGTAGATGGGGTTCAAGCAGTGTGCCACCATGCCTAACTAAGTATAATTCCTATTCATATTAATTCAACAATATACAGAAACTTTGCTCTTACATTTCTTCATCTCATCCTTCTCTATCATGACTGTCGCAGCTGCCAGAGATGACTCATGCCTCTGTAGGCACCAGGCACCACACACATGAAATAAAATAATTATAAATATCTATAAACTATCATACAAATAACACCTTTACGCTAAACCAACAGTTACTGCTTTGCTCTATTGTATTTTTCTGCTTAACACATGCTTTTATTACATGGTATTTTAAACATACACAAAATTAGGCCAAATAGCGTAAGATCTTGAACTTGTCCATTTCGTCCTAACAGCTGAGGCCTATCTTACACCAGGCATGTCCCACATCCGGCTGGCAGGTTACTTTGAAGAAAATCCCATCTATGGAGTTCTTTCTTCTGTAAGTATTTGATGGTACCAAAAGATAATTCTTTTTGCAAAGTCTGGTGACGCACACCTCTGATCCCAGCACTCCAGTAGCAGAGCCAGCCTGGTCTACACAGTGAGACTCTCCCTATCTCAACAAACAAAAGAACAAGGAAACCAGACTCGGCTATAGGAGGCGGTCTCAAAACAAAATAAAAACTTTACTATCTTAATCACTTTTTGTTTTTGTTTTATTTTTGAGACAGGGTCTCTCTATGAAGCCCTGGGTATCCTGGAGCTCACTGTGTAGACCAGGCTGGCCTTGAACTGACAGAGACCTACCTGCCTCTGCCTCCCAAGAGCTAGGGATTAACCACTTTCAAAGTATAGGTCAGTGGCTTAAAAGGCATTCAAAATGTTGTGTAAGCACCACCACCATCCAACCCCCATGACTCTTTCATCTTTCAGAGCAAACTTTAGACCCATTAAGCATCCCCCATACTCTCCCCAACAACCATTATCATACAGAAAATAGTTATGTTTTTGTTTTGCAGTCCTAGGGGCCAAACTCAGAGTCTTGCACATTCTAGACAAGAACTCTACCATTGAACTATACCCCAGTCCTGCTTCTGGAGTTAAAAATCACAAATGATATGAATTAGAGAAAAATATACACAAGGGGCTAAGGATGTAACCCAGTTCATAGACGGCTTGTCTAACATCCACATTGCTCCGAATTCGATTCCCAGGTCTGGGTAATCTGACAAGACAGTGATCATCTGTAGTCCCGGCACTCAGGGCAGAAGTATCCTCAGCTACACAGCGAACTCGAAGCCAGCCTGGGCTACTTGAAATCTTGTCGGAAGGAAGGAAGGGATGGAAGGAAGGGAGGGAGGGAGAAAAAGAAAGGGAAAAAGGGAGGGAGGGAGGGAGGGAGGGAGGGAGGGAGGGGGGGGGGGGGGGGGGGGGGGGGGGGGGGGGGGGGGGGGGGGGGGGGGGGGGAGCAGTAGTAGAGGGGAAAGAAAATGAAGGGAGAGGAATACTGGGCACTACCAGATTTGGAGCCCTGGAGACTGTGAGCACTTGAGCAAAGGCAAGGCAGCCCACGGTCCCCTCGAGGTAAGATGGGGTGGATCTGCCCCAGCGACTAGTTCTTGAACTGCTGACATTCCACTCCCTTGCTGTCCTCCAGTGTCACAGAAGTTGGGGAAATCCCTCTGAATTCAAGTGTGGTGGCCCTTAAAGGATTGTTCTGTGTCCCCAAATCAGGTTGGGTAAGAACGAAAGGCTGCCACATCTGCAGTTACACCAGAACCCACAGCTATTGGGGACCCAGTGGGCTGAGAACCCAGGGAGGTCAAGACCTGAGTGCTCATCTTTCAGTCCCAGGGCAAGCCTTATTTCATCAAGACTCATCCCTGCATCATGGGCTACCTCACACCTGGGAAAAGAAGCTACCTGTAAATGGCCTTTTTCTGACTTCTAAAGGCCAAGGGGACATTCCTAGTGGTGGCACAGAGTGTAGGGTGGCTCAGTACCTAAGGGTTTGCCTTCTGACACAGGAAGTCTTGGAGACTTGAATGTTGGGCTGTCCTGTCCCTCATAAATACCCAGGGAGTTGGCACACAGCCTTGCCTCCATCCTGGACTTGTTTTCTAACCTGTGTTATTCTGACCCTTGCCCAGCTTTCTGTGGTAGGACAGGAAGGTATTAGAACTTCAGAGAGCAGTGGTTTCCTCAAACTGCCCACTTCTGGCTCAGGCTGGCTAGGATCTGGGGCACCTGCCCCCTTTTCTCTAGCAGACCACACATATCTGAAGGGCCATGCTGACCTATGACCCTTGGGCTAGCATACCCAAGATATGTGTGCATAGATGATACACATGGGACCTCAGGGCTGAGGCTGTTTGATTACTGACCTGAGGAAACCAAAAAAAGGAGCTTGGAGGTAGCCCCACCAGTCTCTAGCCTCAAGTGGACAGAGGGTGGGCCCCAGGCATGGGTGCTGACCAGGGACAAGGGCAGAGTACAAAAGGGGAAGAGGGTCACTGGCTCAAGAGTTCTTCAGACACCCCTGCATAGCACCCTCACCCCTGCAGGCCCTCAGCACCTGCCCACCTCGCCAAGCCATGCCTGCTTATCTGCGCCAACATCTGAGTCACAGGAAACAGGGAGGTCCCCCTGCTCAAGGGGTCCTGACAAGGTATGAGGGCCCAGGGAAGGACAACAAAGCCAGGAGGCCAAGGCAAGGACAAAAGGCTTCTGCTCAGAAGGATCATCTGAAAGGACCGGACAGCAAGGGTTGGTGGGAACCGCCATCCCCCCTGAACTCCTGTGAGACTGAGGCGTCACACCACTCTAGTCACACTGGGACACACTTGGTGTCCTGCCTCCCCGACAGGCCTCTCTCTGTCTGCCATAATATGTAAAGAAGGCAGAAAGCAGGCCCTTACCCTGGCATGGCCTCTCCAGTTCTACCCGAGGATCCAGCCCTTTGTGTGAGAGCCTGAACCGCCCTGCCCAGAAATAACCCTATTCTGAAGATAACAAGCCTTCTGCCAGGAGTTTGGGTCAAGGACAGCTACTACACATCTTCCTGAACAGAGGACCTGGGGGCTCTGACTGCAGGAGCGGAAAACTGGAAGACGGTAGCTGGGAGGACTGGTAAGCAAGGCCCTCAAGCTGATAGATCCTGAGAGGGCTGGAACCTTAAAAGCCAACACCTGGGGCTGGAGAGGAGGCTCAGCGGTTTAAGAGCACTTACTGCTGTTCCAGAGGACCTGGGTTCGATTCCCAGCATCTTCATGGCAGCTCAGAGCAGTCTGTAACTCCAGTTCCACAAGATCAGACACCCTCTACTCCTACAGAGGGAAGTTGACCTGGTACAGGGAGCTGTGCTGTGGGATTAACAACTCACCGGATAAAGATGACGTTTTATTCTGAAAAGCCCGCAAAGATCCCAGGGTGTAGGCCATGGCCCTAACCTACCCCTGGCTCCAGGCCTGCTCTTTGGTCCTCACCCTGGTCTTTTCTCAAAAGCCAGGTCTCTTACGGAGTGTACAATATCCATGAGTGTATCTGTGAGCAGAGAGGCCACCTTGGGCCACCGGACTCAGTCACTGTGGCGATCTCCAGGGGGAGACAAGTGAGGTGAAGTAAGTCCCACATGTCCCAGGTTCAGGGGCCACACTGGTCCGCACAGTCCTTTACACTCTGAAATACTGGATAGATGCTGGTGAGAGGGAACATGGTAATGGCACCCAGCAGAGAGCCCACCTGGATAGCCACACCAGCTGCAAGCAGTGCTGGCCGGCCTCCACTGTGCAGCAGGGAATTGATCGCCACCTTGACGTATGAGAACACGCCCGCACACAGTACCCACGAGAGCACCTGAAAGTGGGGGTAGAGGGGAGGTGTGCAGCAGCAGGCTAAATGTGAAGTCCCCCTGCTCCGAGACAAGCCCTATTCCTGCTTCATCGCTCCATCCTACTTACCACAAGGACCACACCTGCAGAGGTGCCCACCAGAGGAGGACAGGGACTTAAGACTGCCAGTGTCATCAGGTAGGCTCCAAAGAACATGCCCAGAATAGACAGACCATACAGCCCTGCCAGAGACCTGCCAAGGATGGGCTGAAATTCAGGACTGGCTGTCCCAGGCCCTGGCTGACCTCAGGTTCCTCCCCACCGGGGCTTGGGACCCATGGGCACCTGCACAGCACTGCCATGGCCAGAAAACAGGCAAGGGGGTTGGCGGAGCTACCCAGTACGACAGCCAAGTGGTAGGCCAGGCGCCCGTAGGGCAGGCAGGAAAAGCTCTGTACAGCAGGCAGCACACCGTTGGTCAGAGCATTGGTGACAGCCAGCAGCCCCAGTAGACTGGCACTTCGGGAAGAGAACAGCCGATGGGCCTTAGGGTCTGGGCTGGGAGCAGTGTCTGCCACCTGGCCTGGCGGTTCCTGCAACGGTGAGACCTCTTCTTCCTCTTCCTCTTCCTCCTCTGTTCCTGGTGTTCCTATCTGAAGCCCTGCATCCACCGTGGGGACAGAGGGTGAAGATGGCAGTAGTAACAGGAGACCTTGGAAGGCAGCAGCAGAAGTGCCCAGAAGGGCAGTCATAACCCAGAAGAAAGTGGTGGCAGAAAAGCGCTCGGGGAAATTGATGGGGGACAGCTGGATAGGAGGCCCAGTGGTATCATTGCCCAGCACGGGCAGACACTCAAGGCGGCCCACCCCCTGCACCAGGGCTAGCACACAAGGCAACAGGGCACTTAGGCCCTGGCCCAGGAAGAAAGAGCGTAAAAAGGGAGGGGGCAGGTGGCTCAGGAAGGGCAGGAAAGTGACATTAGAAGCACAGCAGGCCAGTGACAATACAAAAGTCAGCGTGAGGAAGGCCACAGAGTGGGACTGCCCTGCCACTGGGGCCACGTGGTTCCACAGAAGGGCCAGCAGGGCTGTGCCCACTACGCTTAGTCCCTGCACCACTTGGATAGGGATCCGCTCGCCCTTGCCGCGGGCCAAACGTCTCCACAGGGTCACCAGCAGCAGACCCAGGTTCCCCAGCGCCACAAGCACAGAGAGGTACGAAGGGAGGCTCCAACCTGCAGTGGAGGGAGGAGACCGTGTAAGCGCACCAGGCTAAGGAACAAAGAGCACCTGCGGCCCATCTCCACCCACTTCACGCACCCTCTGGGAGCTCTTTCGTCACTACAGGCAGCTCTACCCAGATCCCGTTGACCGCAGCCCAGGAGCCCATGCCGAAGAGGGCCACGAACAGATGGGTCAGCACCAGTCGGCCCAGCGGAGGTGCTGCCATTAGGTCAAGGGGCCCTCCAGGACAAAGCGCAGGTTAACAGTCCCCTCGTCACCACGTAGGTCCGAAGCTTCCCTGGCTACTCTAGGAGCCAAACCTCTTCCAGCTGGAGGGAGACAAAATTTTAGGCGAGTGGACAGAACCAGGGTCTGAGGTAAAGAGATGGCAAGACCAAGGTACCTGGAGGGAGGCGGCAGATAGATCAGGAGCTGCACGTACCAAGAAGCATGCACCGGAAACCCACAGAGCAAGACTGGCAAGCGGGAGAGCAAGAAGCTGGCCAAACGTGTGGCTCCCGGGAGGACGACCAGCGAAGGAGTAGTCTCTGGTGCTTGAGTAGAATGAAGTCTCGGCACTGTTAAACCTAATCAGGACCACGGCGAACTCCACGGCAGCCGGCGCCGGTCGGCGAGGGGCGTGGCTGGCTGGCTTTACCCGGGGCTCCACCGCCGAGCGCTGTGCATCAGGGGCGTGGGGGCAGAAGCTGCCCGCCCAGCACCAGAAACACACGCCGCTTGATTCGGGACACAGCCAAACCCGAGCTCCGGGACTGGATGAAGACGCCCTCAAATCCGCTAGACTCACAGCGGAAGTCCCGCCCCCGGAAGCTAAAAGTAGTGGAAGGCCCGAGGCCTCGGCCACGCCTCTTCCTCCCAGCCCACACACCCACCTTCCGCTTTTGCGGAGGTACCGGAGCTATGGCTCCTGTATCTTCTGGGCGAGTTCGGCGTCGAGCTCTAGGCTCCAAGCGGGCCGATGCGCGAGCCCGCTCGGCCGAGGACTGGTGGTGGGACAGGCTGGCACCTCGCGGTTCTGGATACCACCTGCTGCAAGCGGACAGCATGCTGCTCGTGCTGCCGGACCTAGAACCTACCCGCGCTCGGGCGCACAGGCGCGCCCCTCGCCGCGCTCCGAGACCTCTGACTCGCGGCCCCACAGTGGCAGCCAAGCCCAGGGTTAAGCCCCGACCTGAGCCGTCGCCCGATCAGGGCCCGGACTCCGGCTGGGGAGACCGTATTCCCTTAGAAGTCCTGGTGCATATTTTTGGGTTGTTGGTTGCGGCTCATGGGCCCATGCCGTTTCTTGGCAGGTACACTAACAACAGCGCTTGCCGGGGTAGGGACTGGCCCATTGAGCGGGTTGAGCGGCAAGGCAGAGGGCAGAGCATCTCAACGGGCATACACGAGTGCTCCGGCACCTGTCTCCACTTGGAGCCCCCGAAGCCTGGCTTTGAGACCGCTGCACTGCAAGTTGCCAGGGCAGATGTGCTGCTTCTAAGACACTTTATTGTAGGCATCACTCACGAAAAGTCATACACTCTCAGCGAACTGTTTCTTCTCCTAGGGCTGCACGCGTTTGCCGCCGTTGGCATGAAGCCACCTCCCATCCTTCACTCTGGCACACTGTGACCCTGTCACCCCCGCTGGTTGGCCGGGCTGCCAAGGGCAACCTTAAGGCAGAGAAGAAGCTCCTTGCTTCCCTGGAGTGGCTCATACCCAATCGGTGAGGGTCCCTTGTCATCTCATTCCCTTGCTCTACCAGTGCCTCCATGCGTCAGTGTTGGGAAGGGAGGATGCTGGCCAGAGGGGCATGAGGACTCTAGTACAGCTGGGCCTTGCTGTCGCCCAGGTTCTCACAGCTCCAGAGATTGACCCTCATCCATTGGAAGTCTCAAGTACACCCTGTGTTGGAGGTGAGAACTTGAGCCTGCCCTGAACACCAGCTGTAACATCTGTGTTGCCCACTCTCAGGGAGTTGCCCTGGTGCTGCCCCACAGAGATGTCTGCCTGTCTGCCCGCCTAGTTCTGTCTTGCTGACACCTTAGGTAGGAAGTTGCCAGAGGAAAAGGCACCCAAGTGGGCCTGGCATGGACAGAATGGAGTCATAGCTGGGCCACAGGATGGACTTGTCAGGACCTCCTTCCCCATCCCCACATGGCCTCTCTCTTGCCACAGCTGGTTAGCAAGTTCTGCCCTCGGCTCACCTTCCTCAAGCTTTCAGACTGCCACAGTGTGACTGCTGACACCCTGGTCATGTTAGCCAAAGCCTGCCACCAGCTCCACAGCCTGGACCTACACCATTCCATGGTGAGTCCTGCGTCCCAAGGGGCCCTGCAAAAGCCTCGGCCCTTGTGAGGTGACACACACAACCCTATACTGGATCCCTAGGTAGAGTCCACAGCTGTGGTGAGCTTCTTGGAGGAGGCAGGGTCCCGAATGCAGAAGCTGTGGCTGACCTACAGTTCCCAGACGACAGCCATCTTGGGTGCGCTGCTGGTAGGTTGGTGATGGGCAGGGGCAGAGCTGCGTGGGAACTGCCAGGCCTTTTGACCTAGTGTACTTCCCAACCGTTACAGGGCAGCTGCTGCCCCCAGCTCCAGGTCCTGGAGGTCAGCACTGGCATGAGCTGCAACAGTACGCCCCTGCAGCTGCCCGTAGAGGCTCTGCAGAAAGCCTGCCCCCGGCTACAGGTATCCATGCCCTACCTTCCCTCACTTGCCATTCGCCCGCCGACCTGTCTGCAGCCTGTCCCTCCTCCCGACTCCCAGGTGCTGCGACTGCTAAATCTGATCTGGCTTCCCAAGCCTTGTGGACGAGGGGTGCCCCAGGGACCAGGCTTCCCCAGCCTTGAGGAGCTCTGCCTGGCTGGCTCCACCTGCAGCTTTGTGAGCAATGAGGTTCTGGGCCGCCTGCTCCATTGCTCTCCCAAGCTGCGCCTGCTGGATCTTCGCGGCTGTGCAAGGATCACACCTGCCGGCCTTTGTGATTTACCATGTCAAGGTCAGCTGGCCTGGTGTGGTAGGTGGAGGGGAGCTCACTGACTGACTGCCTGCTGTTCACACCCAGTTCTCTCCTCGCAGAGCTGGAACAGCTGTACCTGGGCCTCTACGGCATGTCTGACGGGCTGACTCTGGCTAAGAAAGGCAGCCCCCTGTTGACCCAGAAGTGGTATCACAGCCTCAGGGAGCTTGACATCAGTGGCCAAGGCTTCAGCGAGAAAGACCTGGAACAGGCCCTAGCCGTTTTCTCTGGCACCTCTGGGGGCTTACGTCCAGCCTTGTGTTCCCTCAACCTCAGGGGTACCCGAGTTACACCAAGCACAGTCAGGTCAGTGCCTCTTTCTCTAGTTCTGTGAACGTTGTACTTGCTTCTCTGACTTGCGGAACCAGAGGTGGTCTCCCTTGTTTCACTTTTCCAGGGGCCAAGATGAGTGTAGGTCAGACTCCTGCTTGGGGACATCAGGAGAACTAGGCTTAGGCCTGGGTGGCTCGAGGTCATAGGCCTGGTGTAGAGTGAGGACAGACAAGGCTCCCTGGTCAACAGCTCACTTTCCCACGGCCTGCCTGTTCCACAGTTCTGTGATTAGCAGTTGCCCAGGGCTGCTGTATCTCAATCTGGAGTCCTGCCGGTGCCTTCCCAGGGGACTGAAGCGTGCCTACCGGGGTCTGGAGGAAGTTCAGTGGTGTCTAGAACAGCTGCTTACGAGCCCGCTGTCCTCCAGATAGTCCACTTAACTGGACACCAACCAGCTTTGCCCTGCCCCCTTTCACTTGCAGACGTTCGAGCTTTTGTTACAATAAAGTATTTTTAAGCATTCTGTATGGTCCCTTGTTTTATTTGAGATTCTGCTCATGCTAGCCCAGGCTGACCTTACACTCACAGCAGGTCCACCTACCTCAGCCTCCCAGGTGATGGATTTACAAGCATGGACCAACATGTACGGTCCTTAGAGTAAGTTGTTGGGTGAAAATCAGGGGTCCTACCTGACGGAGCGACTACAGCATCGTAGGCCTGTGTATGTGGGAATGGCCCTTAGGTCTCCTAGCCCAAGGGTTTGCTGTGTCTGCTCACTGCAGGGTTTGACTCTTGGACTGTGAATTGCACCCTTGGGACACAGTTACCTGAGGATAGGGTAGGGAGTGAGGTATGAAATGGTGAAAAGAGCCAGGCGGTGGTGGCGCACACCTTTAATCCCAGCACAGGTGAGTTCGAGGCCAGCCTGGTCTACAAGAGCTAGTTCCAGGACAGGCTCCAAAGCTACAAAGAAACCCTGTCTGGAAAAACCAAATAAATAAATTAAATAAATAAATAAATAAATAAATAAATAAATAGTGAAAAGAAGGCACAGAGGCCGTTATTAGCCACCAGAATCCGTGAGTTGATAACGTTGGCAACACTGGCTTAGGCTGTCTAGCCATGAGGAAGCCACGCTGCCCACCACACCATGGAGACTGGCCAGAGAGTGCATGCTCACTAGAAAGGTGTGGTCAATAGAATAGCCCCTTCTAGAATCCTTTACCCTGAACTTCTAGAACCCAGGCAGCTCAGCCTAGACGGTTATCTACTTCCCGGCCCCACTGTTGTCTGGCAGCTCCTGCTCCGTCCTGAACTGCAGCCCTGGAATTGTCTCGGGTGGGAGCCCTGTATATAGACAGTGGATGGTGGGGCAGTGGGCAAGCTGTACGCTGACTACTTCTACCTAACTAGGTCCCCAAGGAGCAGACCACTGGCCTCCCCACGTCTGTCTTTGCCACACGCTTCCAGCTCTGGGCCTTAGGACTCTTCTCTACTGAGCGCCACTTAGCCAATCGCCTCAAGAGCAACAGCTTTTACCCCTTCAAGCAGCAGCAGCCAGATGGTGGGCAGGGGACTGGGCATGGCCAGGTTCCCCCAAGTGGAGAGGCTGGCTGAAGCTGGGTGGGTGAGGGTAGGCAGGCAGGTGCACTTGGGGGGCGACACTGTAGTAGCATGGAGAACCTCCACTGGGAGGATCCCCTTGGCACTGTCCAACAGCTGGGGGCAGCTCCGGGCTGTCCTCATGTGCTGGGCCATGCTGTCCTCAGTGTTTGTGCTCGAGTACTACCTGGACACGCTCTGGAAGGGGACGCTGCTCTTCATCGTCTGCCTTGTCTTGGTCTTCTCTGGCGTCCTGCAAACGGTCAGAGCTCCTGCACCCCACCCCCCTCTCCCTTGGCATGAGGGCCACACAGAAGCTCCAGCCAGAGCTCACCTCCCTGTTAATCCTTGGTGCCTACAGGTGCAGAAGCAGGAGACCTGGTGCTTTTCTCTCTATGGCATGGCTATAGGCCTGTGGCTCATGGCTTCCTCAATCCCCCGGCGCCGCCTAGTGCTGAACCACACCCGCGGCATGTACCATTTCTCCATCAGTGGCCGAACTGTGTGTCAGGGCCCTATGCACCTGGTCTATGTGCGCCTGGCACTCAGCTCTGACGGTGATGCCTGGGATAGGAGAGGGGAGAGGGAGAGGGATGTGGATTCGGAGCTGGGAGGGGCCAGTAGTCCATCTGGACACTCCCACCTTGAAGGTCCTGCCCCTACCATCCTACCCCCCTAGGCTCTGGGAGGTTAGGTTCCTGGCTCAGTTGCTCATCTATTGGCAGTCTATGGCAGGTGCTTCTTCCAGCTGGTCCTTTGTGGCCACAAGCTAGAGCCACTTGTTCTGGTACAGCTGTCAGAGCGCTATGAGGTGGGTCTTGCCCTCCACCCCCCCACCAAAAGATACTAACTACTTAATTAGCTTAGAGTTCTTGAATGGAGCTATTTTTCCTCCCTTGAGGCCTCCCCTCTGCTAAGGGTGGCAGAAGCACTGTGGATTCGGGGCAGGGGTAGGGGACCTCCTCGGGGGAAGAGGAAGGGGTATGTAAGAGCATGCTGGTGGGGATTCTCCTATCTGGGGAATGAACAACTGGCTGCCACTCACTTACTTGTAGCAAATGGAATTCCTGGGTCGGCACATCGCCCGGAAACTCAACATCAACTACTTTGACTACTTGGCCTCCTCCTACCGTCATGTTGTCCGCCACTGGCCACTGGGGGCCACCTTTAGCCCTGGCATCGTGCAGCGAAAAACACAAATCTACACTAAGTCAAGTGTCACTGATCTGGATGTTTAACTCTGGGGCCTGAACCCCACCCCACACTCCTTTTCCCTACGCTGTCCCTTATCCCCGTCCTGGAGGGACTGCCAGCCAGCCCCACCTACTAGCCTTCCTCTTACTAAAGCTGTTTCAATCTCCAGCCAGGTGGTTTTCTGTTGTTTGTTTTTGAGGGGGCTTCCTTTAAGGGTCTTCCCCTAGCACAACCTTATAGGGCCTGAGGATCCCATCTTCTCCACTACTGGAGTAAATTCCACAGTTTGGGTCGGAAGAAGCAAGGAAACTATGAAACCTGGCCTCTGATTGCCTGAAGTCGTCACTAAGCTGGGACTTCCTGTCCCTCTTAGCCAGCAATACTGAATTGGGGCTAACCAATGAAGCCGAGGAGTCAGAATATGACTGGTCTGTCTGGTAGGCACCTGCCTCTAGTCCAGCCAGCAGTGATATGATATGGGGCAGAGCCAGACGATATGCCCTGGGCCTTCTGGTATATATAGGACTGTGCTTAGGCACACGTGGCTCCCAGAGTCCTCGGCCGAGCTGTCCGGTCCACCATAGCCTATGCTTTGTGTCTCTGGTTGGGGCTCCCTTGTCTGACAGAGCTGCCCGGTCCACCACGGCCTGTGCTTTGTGTCTCTGGTAGGAGCTCCCTTGTCTGACAGACACTCTAGTTCCCATACTGGCACCTGAGGCCTCCTGATGCCGGGGCTGCCACAGGAGCAGAGGACTCTTGTCATCTGGCTCTGTGGTCAACATGTTGGCAGGTGTCCCTGGGACCAGGGCTAGCTATGTAATTTGTAGAGCCACAAGATGAAAATATGGAGCCTTGCCTAGTGGTTGTCTTTAATCTCAGCACTTGGGAGGCAGAGGCAGGCAGATCTCTGTGAGTTCGAAGCCAGCCTGGTCTACAGAGCTAGTTCCAGGACAGCCAGGGCTGTTACACAGAGAAACCTTGTCTCAGGGCGGGGACGGGGATGGGGAGGAAGAAAATATGGACTCCTTGTTCAAATCTTAAGAAGCAGGACTTGCTGGCACATACCTGTAATCCCAGCTTTTGGAGGATAGAAGCAGGAAGATCAGAAGTTCATGGTCATCCTCTGATACATTGTGAGTTTCAAGCCAGCCGTGGGCTACATGAGACCCTGTTTCAACAATAGCAATAAAGGTTACTAAGGGGCTAGGCATAATCATAGCACCCAGGAGGTGGAGGTAGTTTGGGTTACAAAATGAGATTCTGTCTCGGAAAAGAGAAAAAAAGTTAATAAGGGATCTGGAGTGTAGGATATAGCTCACAGTGGAATGCTTGCCTGGCGTGTGCAAGGCATGGGCTCCATCAATCTGTTGGGACAAAAAACAAAAAACAAAAAAAAAAAAAGGAAGAAAGGAAGGAAACAGAGAGGAGGAGGGATAGGGAAGAAAGGATGCTGGACAGAAAATATCCTTGGAAAATCCCAAACTGTTAGCCACGCTAATGGAAAATGGCTGGGAAGCTCAACGAGAAGCTCTGTGAGCAGTAGGGGCAGTGAGACTTCAGGAACTGCAGAGAGGAGTCAGCTGGGGTCACAGCGCGAACGATTTACTGGGTAGGCAGAGCCTGGGAAGCAAAGCTGCTTCTTGCATGGCCCAGTGTTTCTGTCCTGGGCACTGGGGCTGGTGACCAGGATGGGAGTAAGCGTTCTCAGGGGAGTCAGGCCTGAAGTTGTGGGCAAAAGCTCTCAGTATTTGCTATGATTTTCAGATCTGAGGATTGAACTCAAGGATTCATAGGTGCTAGGAAAACGGTGTCCCACTGAACTGTAATTTTTTTAGCCCTGCACGGAGTTTTATTTGCTTATTATTAATTTTTTTTTTATTTTAACCAGAAAGGCATGGGGAGAAGGAAGGAGCTGTATGCAGAGGTCTGTATCTGGATCAGGTACTTGTTGCTGTGACCAAATACCAGACAAGGAACAGCTTAAAGGAGAAAGTTTATATTGGCTCGTGCGTGATGGGATACAGCTGGTTATGGCGGGGGAGGCGCAGCCAGCAAGAGCACAGAGTAGCTGGTCTCATTCCTATCGACAGTGGGGAAGCAGAGAGAGAATCCTGGTGCTCAGCTCGCTTCCTCTATGTACAACCAATATTCTAGCCCACAAGGTGGGTCTCACAGACACACCTAGCAGTGTTTTTCCATGGTGCTTCTAACTTCAGTCAAGTTGACAAAATTAACCACCACATTTTTCTTTCTTTCTTTCTTTTTCTTTCTTTCTTTCTTTCTTTCTTTCTTTCTTTCTTTTTTCTTCTTTCTTTCTTTTCTTTCTTTCTTCTCTTTCTTTCTTCTTTCTTTCTTCTTTCTTTCTTTCCTTTCTTTCTTTCTTCCTTTCTTTTGGTTTTTTCGAGACAGGGTTTCTTTGTAGCTTTGGAGCCTATCCTGGAACTAGCTCTGTAGACCAGGCTGGTCTCGAACTCACAGAGATCCGCCTGCCTCTGCCTCCCGAGTGCTGGGATTAAAGGCGTGCGCCACCACGGCCCGGCCCACATTTTTCTCATGTGTTTACAAAGCCGAGGGCCTGGGTAAGATGTATCTGGCAGCTCGGTAGGGGTAGTAGATGAAAACACGTACAGGGATGCCAACCTGGTACCTGACACAGAGGCAGAGGAAGAGCCTTCAGAGACAGGGAACCAGGAACGAGAGGAGGGGGAACCTATGCTACCTAAGATGAGGACTTCAGACAAGGGCCTCATAAGCTCTGCACAAGCGAGGAGAGGGAGGGAAACAGTGAAACTCAAGTATAGAAAGAGATAGTGGCCCACAAGATGTAGATCTCATTCGGGTACAGTTAAGACCCATTGTGGGGTTGGAGATGAGGCTCGGTGGTTAAAAGAACATACTGCTCGTATAGAGGACCCAAATGAAGTGTCTCACAACTGCCCGCAACTCTGGCTCCAGGAAATCTAGCACCCTCTTGTCTCTGTGGACATCTGTACTCACAAGTGGACACACCACAGACATACAGACACACAGACACATACATACCACACATACATACATTCACAAACATTTTTAAAGGAATACTAGTGTAAAAATATTACTGTTCCAAAAGATTTATTATGAAGCAGGTGATTGAATACTTGTAGGAACATGTTCTTGGATGAGCAGACAAGGAAGAAGACCGAGGGCTACAAGTGTGCTTGGGAGCAGGGTCTTTTGCCTCTCCTCTGTTTCTGCCCTGGAAAACAGCTGGTCAAGCATACAGTCACAATGGACTATACTCAGCCTGTACTGCAGGCTGACCTTGAACTAGATTGGTCTCAAACTAGGGTCCTTCCTCTTCCTCTCAGGTGCTGGGAGCACAGGCTTGCACAGGACCCTCAGCTTGATTGCCATTTTAGTGGTATAGAGTGATAGGTTTAAAAAAAAAAAAAGGCATGATCGGGATCAATTCCCAGCACCCACAATGTAACTCCAAGATCTGACACCCTCACACAGACATGCATGCAGGCAAAACACCAGTGCGCATAAAAGAAAAAATTTAAAAGGGATATGAAATAACCTTCCATGGAATGAGAGAATAACCAGACAGGAATGTATAGCCAGGGACTGCCCACTTGCATTGTGAATGTGTGACTTCATAATCTAGAAAAGCAGAACTCTGTGGCCCAGATTTGCTCTGTGGAATCCAAGCTGGTCTGTGGAATCCAAGCTGAGGAGGAAGAGGGCAAGGTTTCAGATCACTATAGTTCCTTCAGTATCTACAGAGTATGCAAACCATAAAACAGCAATGTCCCCCAAATTCTCTGGGCTAGCCCCCTCAACAGGGGGCTCTACCTATGTAGCTGGGATAATTCATGTAGCTATACTAGCTAGGAGCTTGGTTAGGGCCACAATGTCCAAGATGACCCGCTATCATGCAGGACCCTTTTCCAAGTAGCATCTAATCATTCAGCAGGTCCCCAGATGTTGGTTCTCAGAGGCTAAAACAAGAGGGCAGGCCCTGGAGGGCACTTGTTCCAGCATACGCTGGATGCCTCCATGGACAGAAACTTACACAGGAGAGCCGTCGCTGTGTGGAGGGGTTAGATGACCTTAGCAGGCAGGAAGAGCAGGGCCGTGAGCATAAACAGTCCACCAGAGTACACCGTCTAGATCTCCCCCTGCAAGATACAGACCCTTACAGGCCCCCTGGCTTCTCATTTCATTGAGTGCTCCACACAGGTGGAAGGCCAGAGTCTAAGCATCTCTGCCGGGTGTAGATGCACACAAGGGTCTTCGAAGGGCACAGTCCTCCCTTGGGGTTGAAATGTGGGCTGTAGACAGCTTCCAAAGCAGAGGACGGAAGAGGGAACGGGTAAACGGACAGTGGACCACCTTGGTAGATACCACTTCAAATCAGGTGACCCAAGTGGACATCAGTCACTTTAGTGCCATGTACCAGACTTCAGTAAGAAAGCCTGAGTCACCCTCTCACCCTCATCTACAGAGAGCAGCAGGCCAACGGAAGGCAGGTATGGTGGCACATGCTTGCGATTATATCATCTCAGTGCTTGGGAAACTGGAGTCTGAAGCCTGGACTACATGATGAGCCCAGCTGGAGTATTCTACGAAATACTCCATTCTATAAAATGGGACATCATTCCTTCAAAATGAAGCCAGAGAGAGCAAGGGAAGGCTAAGAAGCCGTCACAGACCACAAGGGACAAAGGAGAAGCCTAAACGTAGTATATCACCTTGACTGAGCCGGCAACGGGAACAGAACAGCGACGCTGGTGAGGAAATCGGCAACTCCAAATAAAGCCTGGGTTCAGTTAATGTGCCAATCAGTGTTGGGTTTCTTAGTTGTGACAAATTAATCATAGGCATAGAACATATTGAACCTGGCCTGGAGGTAGACACTCTAATCCCTGCATTTAGGAGGCTGGATTTAATAAATGAAATGAGCCAGGTGTGGTGGTGCAGGCCTTTGATCCTAGGGAGGCAGAAGCTGGGGAACCTCTTCGGAGTTTGAAATCAGCCGGATTTACATAGTGATACCCTGGCTCACAGAAAACGGAGAGGGGACTAGGTAACATTTTGGGACCAGCAATGTAGTTCAGTGGTATAGCATTTATCTGCTCAGCATGTACAAGGTCCTTGGTTTGAACCCCACCACTGTAAAATAAAATTTGTTTTTGAAGCAGGAGCAGGTGGAGCAGTCGATGCCCTGCTGTCCTGAAGTAGGGGCCTTGCTCTAGAGCCTTCTCCAGGAGCTGGTTCTCAGCTTCTTCTCTTCTTCCTTTTGTCTCCTCCTACTCACCCTCCTCTTTTTATTTTTCCTCGAGACAGGGTTTCTCCGTGTAGCACTGGCTACCGTGGAACTAGCTCTGTAGACTAGGCTGTCTCAAATCCTTTTTTCCTTGACTGTCCTAGAACTCGCTCTGTAGATCAGGCTGGTCTCAAATTCACAGAGATCCACCTGCCTCTGCCTTCCAAGTGCTGGGATTAAGGGATTAAAGGCATGCGCCATAGCTGCCGCAGCCACCACCACCACCACCACCACCAGGCCTGTTTCTGATTCTTAGCTCTGCCCCTTAACCACCCAAATTCTTGGCTTCCTTTGTGCCAACAGAAATGGTGAAGTTCAAGGTCTCTCTCTCTCTCTTTTTTTGAAAGGTCTAGCTCATTTAATCCAAGTTAGCTGGACTCCTCTACACACCCCGCAGATCCATTTAGAGAACAAGTGGATTCATTAGACAAGGTTCACACCCAAGAATTTCTTCAAGGTAACTTCTGGGACAAAGTATTGTTGGAAGAGCTGGCACGGTAGCTCACGTTTGTAACTTCAGCACTTAGAAGACTGAGACAGGAGACTGTCACAAGTCCAAGATCAACCTGGATTGCAGAGGAAGCCTGTCTCAAAACAAAACAGTGAGAATAGTGCTCCAACCTTTGAGCTCACCAAATGCAAAGTCTTGACACCTACACTGGGGACTTAACTTTGACACCAAAAGCATTTCACAGGTGGTGCCCCAGATGTTATTTATGCCCAGAGGCTGTTCCTTAATACCCTCGTGCAGGGCTTGGGGTGTGACTTAGTTGGTGCGTAAAACCAGGTCTGGTGGTGAAAGCCTGTAATACACCAAAGAGGATCAAGCTCAAGTTCATCCTTAGCTACACTGAGTTTGAGACCAGCTTGGGGTTCGTGAAACCCTATCTGAAAATGCCAAAGAATAAAACAACAAAAAAAAGTTTTGCATGCTGATGACTATAAACCACCACCACCAACAACAACAAAAAAATGAACTTCTCAGTCTGGTGAGTTCTAGATAGGAAATATTTCCTCCAGATTTTGTTTGAAAATATAAGTGTTCTCTCTTCATCTGAAGTCTCGCTTGCAACATAACTCAAGGCTTAAAGAACTTGGGGCCAAGAGGAACAGCTCAGGGGATACTTGCATAACATGTGGGAAGCTGGGGCTTCACCTGCAGCTCCGTAACAAACAAACCAGCTCAGAATCTGAGGAGCACAGTATTGGATTCCGGGAACAACAAAGCTTATGTCAGTGATCACATTTTTTTTCATTGCTCCGGAGACCAGAGTTTGTGGGCTCCAGGGAGATTTGACCCCTTGTCTCATTCCTTTTGGTGGTTGATGGCAACTTTTAACTTTTTACTTATCAATCATTCATCCATTCATTTGAAATACTGGGAAATGACCTCATGGCCTCTCACACACCAAGCATGTTCTATCACTAAGCTACATCACTAGTAATCTCTGCTGTCTATCCATTCATCTTTGATGGGCACTCCATGTTTAGAAGCATATAGTAATTATCCAAGACAATGGGTTTCATTATGACAGTTTTGTACACACGTTTTATTCATCTGGGTCCCTGAGAGCAGTGGTTCTCTGGTGTGGGAAGTTCCTTCTGTATATGCTTTTATTGGTTAATAAAGAAGCTGCTTTTGGCCAATGACTTAACAGAATATAGCCAGGCTGGAAGAGATATAGAGAGAGTAGGCAGAGTCAGTGAGATGCCATGTAGCCCCACCAGAGACAGACATTGGACGGAACTTTACCCGGTAAGCCACAGTCACAGTGATACACAGATTAATGGAGATGGGCTAGTTTAGGACATAAGAGCAAGCTAGGAATATGCTTAAGCTATTGGGCAAACAGTATTACAGATAATATGGTTTCTATGTGATTATTTCAGGAGTGTGGGCAGCAGGAAAATGAACAAGTGGCTTCCTACAACCGTTCTCAAACTGGGGTTGTGACCTATGGGGAGATAAAGTAACCATTTCACAGGGGTCCCCTAAGACTATCAGCAAACACAGATATTCACATTATGATTCATAACAGTAGCAAAATTATAGCTATGAAGTACCAACAAAAATAATTTTATGGTTGGGGATCACCACAACATGAGGAACTGTAGTAAAGGGTTGCAGCATTAGGAAGGTATAGTTGGCTGTTTTACTCCTTGGGTGTTTGCCACCCAGCTCTCAATAAATACACGGAAATTTATTCTTACTTATGAATGCTCAGCCTTACCTTGGCTTATTTATTTTTCTTTTCTTTTTTATAGAGATTATAAACTGTTTTTTTTAAAAAGATTCATTTATTTATTATGTATACAACATTCTGCCTCCATGTGTGCCTGAAGGCCAGAAGAGGGCACCAGATCTCGTTACAGATGGTTGTGAGCCACCATGTGGTTGCTGGGAATTGAACTTAGGACCTCTGGAAGAGCAGCCAGCCACTGCTCTTAACCACTGAGCCATCTCTCCAGCCCCCAGTTTGGTTCATTTCTAGCCAGTTTTTCTAACAAATTTTTTTTTTTTTGGTTTTTCGAGACAGGGTTTCTCTGTGGCTTTGGAGCCTGTGCTGGCACTAGCTCTGTAGACCAGGCTGGTCTCGAACTCACAGAGATCCGCCTGCCTCTGCCTCCCGAGTGCTGGGATTAAAGGCATGCGCCACCATCGCCCGGCTTCTAACTTAAATTAACCTGGTTAAATTACCTATGTTTTGCTGCTGGGCTTTTTGCCTTTTTTGGTCTTTCTTCCCTTCTTCCTCCATGGCTAGTTGTGTGGCTGGTCCCTGGGGTCCTCTCCTCTCCTTTTTTTTTTTTTTTGGTTTTTCGAGACAGGGTTTCTCTGTGGTTTTGGAGCCTGTCCTGGAACTAGCTCTTGTAGACCAGGCTGGTCTCGAACTCACAGAGATCCGCCTGCCTCTGCCTCCCAAGTGCTGGGATTAAAGGCCTGCGCCACCACTGCCCGGCTTCCTCTCCTTTTCTTAAACCCTGCTTCTTCTCCGCCTAGATTTCTCCTCCTATTATTTATTCTCTCTACCTGGCAGCCCCGCCTAGCCCTCTCCTGCTTAGCTATTGGCCCTTCAGCTCTTTATTAGACCAATCAGGTGTTTTAAACAGGCGCAGTAACACAGCTTCACAGAGCTAAACAAATGCAACCCAAAAGAATGCAACACAACTTTACATCACTAAGCCAATGTTCCACGGCATAAACGAATGTAACCCACCCTCAACTAATATTCCACAGCAGGAAGGTGGAGAACCACTGCGCCAGTTGAAGAGCGCAGAGTCAACAATAGAGATTGTCATGCTAGAGGGGCTGAGATCATGCCAGCCACTCAGTGCACAGAGTCTGGTGCTTAGGCAGTAGCTCTGGTCCTGCATGGCTGAGTGGACCTGGAAAGCACTAGTTGTCCAATTTGTGCTACTATGAATGCTTTTTTTTTTGTAATGAGTACTCTGCCTGCACATATGTATGTGTACCACATGTGTGCCTGGTACCCACAGAGGCCAGAAGAGGGTGTCAAATCCCATGGAACTGGAGTTATGAACCACACTGTGGGTACTGGGAACTGAATCCAGGTCCTCTGCATGAGTAGCGAGTGTGATGGGCATGGTGGTGCACACCTTTAATCCCAGTTCTCAGGAGGTAGAGGCAGGGGGATCTTTGTGAATTCAAAGACAGCCTGGCTCCAAAACAGCCAGGACTACACAGAAAGACCCTGTCTCAAACAACAAACCAAACAAAAACAGCATCAACTGTCCTCAGTGGATGACTCACCTCTCCAGTCCCAAACCGTTATTTTTCATTTTAATATTTTGCTGTACTGGGGACTGAACCTAGGGCCTTGTTCCACATTTAGACAAGAGCTCTACCTGGGCTGGAGAGATTATGGCTCGGTAGTTAAGAACATATACTGCTCTTCCAGAGGACATGAGTTCAATTCCCAGAATCTATGCCGCTGGGCAGCTCACAAGCACTTGTAACTCCAGCTCCAGACAGACTCATTTCTGGCCCCTGCAGACAGGCAGATACAGACAGACAGGTAGGCACATACACACACACTTTTTGTTTTTGGAGACGGGGTTTCTCTGTGAAGCCCTGGCTGTTCTGGAACTCACTCTGTAGACCAGGCTGGTCTCGAACTTAGAGATTGCCTGCCTCTGTCTCCTGAGGGCTGGGATGCATCTGGAGGTGCACTGCCATGGCCCAATTAAATCCCCCCCCTTTTTAAAACAGCTCTACCATTGAACTACATTTCTTCCCTGGCTATTAATTAATAATAATGAATATTAATTAATTAATTAATTGACAGGGTTTCAATGTGTAGCCCTGGTGGGCCTGGAACTTAATATGTAGAACAGACTGGCCTAGAACTGATAGGGATATACCTGCTTCTGTCTCTCTAGTGCTGGGATTAAAGGCATGTGCCACCATCACTAGCTAAATTGGCACGTTTTTGGGATCCTAATAAGTTTTCACATACCAATTACCTGTTAACTTCTTTGGGAGTCTAAGAATGCTCATTCTATAAAATTTCACTCATGGGGCTGGAGAGATAGCTCAGCAGTTAAGAGTCCTGGCTGCTCTTCTAGAGGACCTGAGTTCAATCCCATGACACTCACAACTGTCATATTACAACTCCAGCTCCAGGGGACCTGGCATCATCACACAGACACACATGCAGGCAAAACACCAATACACACAAACTAAATAAATTATTTTTTAAAATTTCACTTGTTACTTTTTATAGAGTACTAGACTGAACTTATATTTAATGAAAATGTTTACTACTTAGATATTTGCTCTTTGTATGTATGTGTGTTCATAGGCCAATGATCATGCGTGCAGGTTTGTGTGTGTGCATGGTGAGACCGGAGAACAAGTAGCCTATGTGGACTGGCCAATGAGCTCGGGGATCTGCCTGGCTCTTATCTTCCCAGTGTTTTCTCCTGTGGTTTGCTTATTTTTAAGGACACAGCTATGGCTGTGTTGTGACCCAGACTCTCTTACAGTTCTCCCTGTCACTTTGGCTTTGTCACTGTTTTAATATAAAGTGTTCCTCCAAAAGGCTCACCTGTTGAAGGCCTGATTCCCACTGCAACAAAGTCCAGGGGTGGGGCATCCGGAAACTGATTGACTACCAGGACTCATTGATGCATTGATGGAATCCTATCATGACATTATTAGAAAATGGTAGTAGACGGGCAGTGGTGGCGCAGGCCTTTAATCCCAGCACTCTGGAGGCAGAGGCAGGTGGATCTCTGAGTTTCCGAATTCGAGGCCAGCCTTGTCTACAGAGTGAACCCCAGGTCAGAAAGGGATACACAGAGAAACTGTCCTCCCTCCTTGTGACATCGGTTACAGTGGTGACACGCCCCCAATGTCAGCCTCAGTGAGGACCAAGCCTGCTTTACCCTTCAGGCCTTTTGAAGTAGGCCTTCAACCTGCCCTAGTGAACTCAGGAGAGGTAACTTCCCTCTGTGTTACCCTCTAAGCCAGCAGCCCTTTTGGGAGGCTACTGTTTCTCTCACCACAGACGGCCCTGCCTTGGAAGTGGGGTATCTTGTCACCCAGTCCTTACTGAATTGGCAGACCGATTCATCTTCTCCCAGGACATGTCTTCATTAGCTACATCAACCAGCCCAGAACCATCCTGGGGCTGACTTAAGTAGTCTCAAGGACTAGCCTCCATTGTCCTACCACCACAAGCCTTGACCTCTTCCTGCTAATGACCTCACCCACCCAGTCACCACAGAAGCAGTCCCCAACCAGTTCTTTCAATCCAACTTCCCATTCTCTGTCAATCCGACTCAGCCCATGGGTGGACCCTCCAGTGAGGCTGTCCATTGATTCCCTAGGTGGACAAAATAGTGACAGGCTCACAAGGGCCTGCACACATCAGTGGGCTGTCGGCAACACGACAATGGAGCATCCCGTCCTGTCCCCACCCCCCCCCTCCCCACTTACACACACCTTAAACCTTCCTGCACGATGGGACCTGGGCAGAACTGTGGGTAGTTATAAGGAAAGCAGAGGAAGAAAGATATTCACAGACCAAACACTGAGACTCTTATTGAAAAGGGATAAAAACTGAACCAAAAGAGCAAGAAGAAAGCCTCACATGGAGGTTTTGCGCGAGTTGCTATGAGGGCCAGGACAGTGGGGCCTGCAGTTATCCACGGATTGCGGGCTGCTTTGCTCTACTACTGCAACAAAGCCTTCTCAGGCTGCAACTCTCAGTGGGAGAGACTCAGTGGGGCCTTGGGTAAGGGAGCTTATAACTTGTCAAAAGGAGTGATCAACTATGCCTCAACTCTTCTTTGGATCAAGGGTCTGGGGAATCTCTACATGGAAGTGGGGCTCAGAGTCAGGTTCACAAGGCCAGTTGGAATGCCCAAGTAATTGCTCCTGGGTCCCATGTGCTCCATGCACCTGGGCTGGTGGGGACTGATGGTCAAGGCCTGAACCCAGCTGCCCCTCCTGGCCGTCCCCCCCTCCCCGTGTGTGTGTGTGTGTGTGGGGGGGGTCCTGAGGGATCTACCATAGCCAGAGCAAGGCCTGTTTGAATGGTTCCCTCGGTATTGCCTGCCCCTGAGACCCAAGGACACATGTGCCTGGGCATGGTCTGTCCCATCAAGGGGTTAAGGGCCAAAGGAGAGGAGTGAGGGACAAAGTGGGGGGGGGGGAGAAGGGGGAAGGGCTGTGTATCGAACATAAGGATAGAGATTATTATATGAAGGGATGGAGAAGAGGGTTGAGTATAGAGCCACAGAGGAACGGGACTTGACTCAGGAAAGACTGGAAGGGCCAAGGACCACGACTAATAAAGAAGGAACCCAAGGGGCAAAGTGTAGGGACAGAACTAGACAGGATGACTAAGCCTATGAGGGGACCTAGAGGAAGTGGGAGGATAGAGTTGGGGGTGGGGATACTGTCCAGAAGAAGGCAGCAAACAGAGGGTGAGGGGGATCGAGTCTGCCTGAGCCCCGAGGGTCCGTCTGGTAATTAGACCTTGTTCCAGATGAACCCCCCACCCCCGTCCAGCAATCAAAATGCTAATTGGCCTGACGCCTCCGGCTGCGCCTCAGCCGGTCCCCTCTGGGAAGAAGCCGGGACTAGTGGCGTGGCTGGCGGGGAACCCTAGCCCCCCACCCCCCACTGCGAGCTTCGCCGGCTGCTGCTCGGCGATAAGGGGGAGGCCGCACCCGCCCTGCCCCTCGGGAGCGCCTGCCAAGCAAGATGAATGTCCGGCCGCTGAGGAGCTGGGCCGCTAGCATAAAGCAGGAGAGTGGTCTCCACACTCAGTGTGGGGCAGGTAGCTCACACCCACCGTGGCCGGACGCGAGGCAGTGGATGCTGGTCGCAGCCAAGCACGCAGCAGAAGGGGAGCTGAGCTCAGCACTGCAGCGCTGCCCTGGCTTCTGCGCCGGACGGGGCCAGTCCGTATAAGGTCACCGCGCTGCAATCCCCGCTTGCCGCTCCGTGACCATAGTCGCTAGTCCGAGCAGGCTGTGTGGGGATAGCTCAGCTCAGAGACCCCAACGCGAGGAGGGGGCGACGAAGGGACAATGGCGGCGCCCGGCCCTAATTGGGGACATATGCACCCGCGCGCAGCCATTGTGAGGCCCCCAACCCCCAGTGCCCCGCCATTGGCCATTGGGCCTGACGTCATGGGGGCTGCAAACTCCGGGCGGGCGGCCACGGGAAGGGTTATTCGCCTGGTTGCAGGCCGCCTGGGGGAAGCTGTAGAGGCGCGGAAGGGCGGAAACCACCAATGGAGCGGAATTTCTGGAACAGGGGCATGGCAGTCCCTCTCACCATGCACACTCAGCTTGCTACGACGCTACTGTGCTGGACATCCGTCCCGCGAGAGAGGCGGGGGCAGAGCGGTCCCTCCAGCGGGCACAGGGTCAGCCGAGGTGACAGAGTGGCAAGAGGCACTGCGGCACAGGGAGCATACAGGTTTCCACACTGCGTTTTCGCTGCCTCAGCATTCACTCCTTTGGTCTCCCGCCTCTCCCCGCCTCCGCACATCCCGCGCCTAACCTCCAGACCTCATACGAGGCAGCGTGGACCAGGCTGAGGTCCGCTCGCGTTCTCCCCAAAAGAACCAGAGTCTGGGGTGCGTGAGTGTCAGGCCCATTCCCACCTCTCTCAACACGCCCGACTATGCCACCAAGTATCAGGTCGCCATTCCCCGAGCCGCACGGGGGAACTCCCCACAAGTCTAGGCGAGGCATCCCCAGGACCCCTCCCAGGAGACCCTGGCCCGGCCCAGCTCGGCGCAGCCATTTCCGCCGGCCTTTTCCCCTCCCCGCCCACCCCCTCCCCCAGCGCTTGGCTTTAAAAGCCAGAGGCTGCGCTCGGCGGCAGGCAGAAGAGGCTTGCAGGCTCTGGAGGCCTGCCCCGGAGCTGTCCGAGAGCGGAGCCCCGCCCCCGGACCCCCGTCCCTCCCTCTCTCCTTCCCTCCCTCGGCCCGCCCTCCCTGAGTACCCCTCCCCCTGAGGACCCCCGCCCGCCGCCCGCCGCTGCCGCCGCCGCCCGCTCCGACTGCAGAACAATAAAGCCAGCCTCCCAGAGACCCCCGCCGAGGACCCCCGCCCGGCGACCAAGCCCGGGTGGCCCGCCCCTCTTCGCCAGCGCCAGCTGAGCGCGCCCGGGCGCTGGCCGCGGTGCTGCCCTAGCCAGCGCTGGCCGCGGTGCTGAAGCTGCTGGTGCTCCTGCCGCTGCTACTGCTACTGTCGTGTTCTCTTGGCCCGGCGCTGCCGCCCCCGGGGGCATGGGGCGCCGCTGACTGAGGTTCCGCCGCCGCGGCGGGGGGGGGAGGGGAAGGGGGCCGTGGGGCCGGGCCAGCCCTGCACCCATTCGCAGCCTCCGGGCCCGGGACGGAGCCGCTCCCCCCCTCTCCGCCCCCCCCAGCCTCCTCCCCCGCCTGTCCAGGGGCGGCACTGCGGGCTGGGAAGCCGGGACCAGAGGAGGGAAGGAAGGAAGGAAAGAAGAGAAAAGAAGAGAAGCGGAGGAAGGAACGAAGGAAGGGGAGAGACAGAGAGAAAGAGAGAGGAGGGATCCGGAGGGGAAGAAGAGACGCAGGGAAGCAAGAAGAGAGAGAATCACACTCGCCCAGCAGCATCCACAGGCCAGACTGGGGACAGTGCTGCTTCCACCGCTCCTCGGATGGTGACGGGGCCTCGCCGCGGACGCAGTCCCCCCGAGCCCCGGCTCTGCAGGCCCTCACTGCCGGAGCCCCGCAGGAATCATGCCCAGGTCCTTCCTGGTTAAGAAGGTCAAACTTGACACATTCTCTTCGGCAGACCTCGACAGCTCCTACGGGCGCGCCCGCAGCGATCTCGGAGTGCGACTGCAGGATAAAGGTGCGCTCTGGACTGCAGCTGGGGCAGGGCCCAGGGCTTTGCTGGAAGGGGTGGGTGGCCAGAGTGTGGGGGTGGAGTGGCAGGGTAGGAGGGGGATGTAGATCCAGCGGAAGCAGCCTGAGGCTGGAACCGAGAATGAAGGCTGAGGAAAAGGGAGAAGAGTAAGGCCAGACAGCTTCCGAGGTTGGCCAGAGTGTGGGTACAGGAGAGGTAGGAAAGAGGAATCAGGAACAGGGAGCACTAAAGGCACATAGGGACCCACACACTGACTTGTGCTGAAATACACGGACACCTGCTGACATAACAAGACCCAGTTATATGGGCACATGCAAACCCACACCCAGAAATCTGGATCTGTTTCACTTTTCTTGGGCTGCACCTTCAAAGCCCCTTGCTAGGGCTAGCTAGGGAATGCTGGGAGCTCTAGGGAGTAGGCATGGGGTCTGGCAGGGCCACCCACCTGTCAGGGCCTAGGTACCAGAAGAGGCAACAGCAGTATCTTCCCTGGACTCAGGATTAGGAAGGAGGAGGTGAGCAAGGGAAGCCAAGGTATTGGAGTCAGGGGCGGCTCTTTGTGTAAGGATGCCCAAGTTCAAGGACAACTGTTAGCATGCAGGCAAGGGGGACAGGAGTGCCAGCAGTGTGGGGTGTCGGAGCAAGTGTGACCTGCAAGAGCATAAGCCTGTGTGGGCCCATGTGACTGCGTGTGGCCATGTGACTTTGTGCGCTTGTGTGTGACCCTGTGTGTGTGCCTGCCTGTGTGCCACTACATGAGACCACGTGACACTGAGACCGCTGTGCACCATGTGACTGAGAGTGTGTCTGGATGGCTGCATATGTGACCCTGCATATGTGGGAGGTGAGTTCCAATGCCAGGGGTCGGTAGACAGCTTATCCTGTGAGAGGACACCAGGCCCAGTGATTTCTGAGAGCCTAGGGGCAACCCTGAAAGGGCTAGAGGCTGCATTGTGAAGGGTATGCTTTTACTTTACGATCCTGAGATTGTGAGCTCCATCTTGTACTTTGGGAACAACTGCAGTTACTGGCATGAACGATGTCCACCTGCAGCTTGTCTCTAATAACGTGTCCCCTAGTGGATGCCCTGGCAGTCTTCCTAGTCCCCTGATGGGGACTTGAGAAGGTCCCCAGAAGGGTTAGGGCATGGGGAGAAAAGAATGTAGACTAAAGTAGGACCCAGGATAATAGAAAGGAGTGGGTGGAGGTAAATGAGTTCAAGCTGCAAGGGTAGTGATCATGTCCAGTAAGTGGTCAGATAGCTGGGAGATGAGGGCGAAGTACTGACGATGGCCAGAGATAGATGCTGGCTAGGTAGAAGTCGCTACGGTTTTGTTGGTACACCTAGGGAACCAGAGTAAAGTCTGGAAGCAGATTTTAGGGTCTGAAGGCGGCCCCGGGGACCCCGAAGAGGCAGGACCGTCGGGGTCTCTGGGCTGGAGGCCCTGGCTTTGTGCGCGGCGGGTCTGCAGTGTGTTGCATAATCAGGGAAAACTGCTGAAGTGGGGAGAACCCGAGGGGGAGGGGAAGGGGGAGGAGGAAGAGAGGAGCGCCGCCCCTCCCCCCTGACCTTGAGGCTCGCTGAAGGGGGGCAGCCGCGCCCGAAGATGCCTCTCTCTCTCCTCCCCGCGCGGGGGCGGGGCGCTTGGGCGGCGGGGGAGGAGCCCTGCCTGGCCCTGTCTCATCCTCTGCTGTCTCTCTTCTCTCCTCTCTTCCCCTCCCCACGGTCTCCATCCTCTCTGCCCTGTGGTCCCCGGCCCCTTCTCCTTTGTCCTAATTCTTGTTCGTCTTCCTTCCGGACCCAATGTCTCCCGCTGTGTCTTCTCGGTCTCCCGCCGCTCGCTTTGCGTGTGTCTTGCCCGCTGCTCCGTTCCCCTCCCGTTGTCTGTCTGTCCGCCTCCGCCCGCAGGATACCTCAGTGACTACGTGGGGCCTGCGTCTGTCTACGATGGCGACGCTGAGGCGGCGTTACTCAAAGGGCCATCCCCGGAGCCTATGTATGCTGCGGCTGTGCGCGGAGAGCTGGGTCCCGCGGCCTCTGGCTCAGCACCGCCGCCCACCCCTCGCCCAGAGCTGGCTACTGCTGCTGGCGGCTACATCAACGGCGACGCGGCGGTCAGCGAAGGCTACGCGGCTGACGCCTTCTTCATCACTGATGGGCGCTCACGCCGTAAGGCTGCTAATGCCAACGCTGCCGCGGCCCCCTCCACAGCCTCGGTGGCGGCCCCCGACAGCGACAGTGGAGGTGGGGGCGGGCCGGGCACGCGAGGCTCTGGATCAGGGTCCGCTAGTCGGGGTGGCACGCGCGTGGGGGCGGGCACCGAGGCGCGTGCAGGGCCAGGAGCCACGGGCGCTGGTGGCCGGCATGCGTGCGGCGAGTGCGGCAAAACTTACGCCACGTCGTCGAACCTGAGCCGCCACAAGCAAACGCACCGCAGCTTGGACAGCCAGCTGGCAAGGCGTTGCCCAACGTGTGGCAAGGTGTACGTGTCCATGCCGGCCATGGCTATGCACCTGCTCACGCATGATCTGCGCCACAAGTGCGGCGTGTGCGGCAAAGCCTTCTCGCGGCCCTGGCTGCTGCAGGGCCACATGCGCTCTCACACGGGCGAGAAACCCTTCGGCTGTGCGCACTGCGGCAAGGCCTTCGCAGACCGCTCCAACCTGCGCGCACACATGCAGACGCACTCCGCCTTCAAGCACTTCCAGTGCAAGCGCTGCAAGAAGAGCTTCGCGCTCAAGTCTTATCTCAACAAGCACTACGAGTCAGCCTGCTTCAAGGGCGGCGCTGGTGGCCCCGCAACCCCTGCGCCGCCGCAGCTCAGCCCGGTTCAAGCCTAGGGCAGCGGGGCCTCCGCCAGCCAGGTCGGCTCTCAGCAATACGGGCCCCCCAGGGAAGTCTCCGCTGGCGTCAGGGCGGAGGGGCTGGAGGGCGGGCCCCTCCTCACAGCAATAGGGGTAGGGAGCCGGCCCCACCCTGCCCCGCTCGCCAGGAGCCTTGCCAGCCCCTTCAAGCAATAGGGTCCCGAGGGGAGACCCACCCCGAAACCCCTCCCCTCTCCTCCAGGGTGCCCCAGGCTTTCTCCCAGCAATAGGGTCTACCAGACCCAGAACCGAACCTCATCTCTTAGTTGGGTCTCTGAAGACAGGGGTGAGGTGAGGTAAGGAGCGCCCTCCTCCCTCCTCTGCGCCCCTGGATCGCGTTGCAGAGACTCAGGTCTTCCCCACCCCTTCCCAAGCCTTCCAGGCCAAGCCTTCAGCCCGGCGTCCAGGGAGTCAGCTCCACCCGGGCAGCTGGCCGGAGGAGGAGCAGGAGAGCAGGCGGGCCACAGAGGCGTTCTGTTCCACAGGCTTTGCAGACCTCCCGGGAGTGCTAGACGATTTGGGGATGGGGAGGGGCGCGGACGGCGGCAACCCTCTCCCTCGGGTTCTTTCTGGGGCCTCAGTCCGAGCCTCCCTCCTACCCTCGCCTCGCCTCCTCTGCCAAATCCGAATTCTTCCAGCCCGGCTTCCGGGGCTCTGTCCTCCATAACGAATAATAATGACGCATATCGGAATCGCATGAACTTATCCGACCTACTCAGACCCCGATCCCACCCTGCCCCGGGGCCCCCTCCCTCGCTCCCCAGGCTTCGGGTGTTGGAGGACGGATACCCGGGCCGGCAGGCTGGCGTGCCACTGCCCTCTACACACCTCTGTATTTGCTTTGCGGGTAAAGCCCCCTGGGGGGGTTGCGGACGCGTCGGGTTTCTTTCTTTCTGTATTTATACGTTTTATTTATGAACGGATTGCACTCGGGTCAGGGAGGGGGCGCCGAACCCTCATTCTTCCCGCCGACGCCCGGGGCTTAGGTTGTCAGGACCACTTCCTCTGCCCCTGAGCTTTGCCTCACAGAGGCCGGCCCTTTCCCGGAGGCCAGGCCCAGCCCCCACTCGGTTGCCAACTTTCACCCGTCTATGCCAAAGCCTCGGCGGTGACCCTACCCCAAGGGCCCGCCCCATTGGCCGCCGCCTTTGTGACATCACTGCATGCAGTCCCACCCTTCTTCCCAACCCTTCCCGGGGCTGCCCGCTCCCCTTCCTCTTAGTTAGTCCGATGCAGACTATAGAGCAATAATGCGCACTGCATGTGAAGCTGCCGCAGCCTCTAGAGTTACTGAGAATCAGGTATCCCCTGCCCTACCCATCCCATAGGCCCCTAGATCAGGGATGCTGCGCGGGGCCGGCCACGCAGACTTTCTTTCCCCATTCCCTCCCCCAGGGCAGAGCCCGGCAGGCGTCTTGGTTCCAGAGGCTGGAAAGGAATGGTATCAACCGCAGCCTCTCTGTCAGTCCTTCATCACTCACCGACCCATCATTGGGTACCTACGATATGCCAGGCCCTTTCCTGAATCCGTCAGAGATGTGGCAACCTTCGGGGAGGTGCCTCTCAGTGATGGGCCCAACAAGCATGGGTAGGCCAGGGTGGAAGGCAGTTGCAGAGGGCTGGGTCCCTGGGCCCATATGGCCTCTCCCACCCACCTCAGTCCTCGTTTATGCTGGATGTAGTCAGGCTCTGCCTTTGACTTGGGCCTTATGTTTCCAGCTCAAGTTGGACAGGCCCCAGGGTCTCGGGGGCCCAGCTTCACCAGGGCCACCCACACAGGTACCCATTTTCTGATTCCCTGAGATACGAGGCTCTGGCTATCTCTGTGCCGCTAAGGCGCAACAAGCTGGAGTATATGGTATGGCCAGCCTCATCCCAGCACCAAGCTTGGCTACCCTCCTGGTGCGGACCTGCAGGCCTAGCATAGCAGTGCCCATATCCAACCCCCTTAAGTCCACCTGGCGAAATGCCCACAGTTCCTAGCCTGGGCCTGCCAGCCTGTGCCGCATGCACACGCACACAGAGGCGCCCACCCTGCCCCACTCCTTACTCCTGTCTACCTACCTATGGAGAAGGCTGGAAGGGCTGTGGGCCCGCCAGGATCTCCCGCTTCGCCCACACCCTGCCGCCGTGGAAAGCCATGGGCCCCCTCCCGCCCCCATAACTAAGCAGCACAATAACCGACTTAGCGAATTCAGGTAGAAGGAACGTTTAGGTAGCACCTATTTTGTACTGATTCTACAAGTAGGGCCCGAGGTGCGGGGGGCCCTCGGGTGGGGGCTGTGGCTGCCGGCCCGCCCCGCCCCCACCCCCGCCTGCGCCCCGCCACCTTGTACATACTCCTGGCCCGCAACAGGCCGGGATTTTTACTCGGGCCGTGTCCCTCTTCCGCCCCCGTTTGGGGCCGGGCCGGCCGGACAGACGGACGGACGGACAGACCTCCTTCCTAAGCACAATAGCACCAGCTCCTCGGAGCGCCGCACCTCCACGAGGAGAATAAATGCCACTCTTGATAGAATTTGGAGTGTTGATTAACGTGTCCTGTTGGGGTGCCATTAGGGGTATCTGAGGGTGTCTGAAGGGAGAATTTCCAGTTCTGAAAGCTCAGATCAGGGCTGGGAATCGCAAGCGAAGCACCAGTCTTGGCCTTTTCTCTTACCGGAAATAGCCTGCCGTCTAGCTGGACCAGTGGAGTACCTCTCTGAAGGCAAAGCCATTGACAATTCCCTTGGGATAAGCGAAACTACTCTGTCTCAGGTATTCAGGGCACTCATAGCTTCTAGCCCAAAGTCAGGTCTTGCCCAACCTGACTTAGAATGGCTAAAATATACAGCAAGGCCAGGTGGTAGTGGCGCACGCCTTTAATCCCAGCACTTAGGAAGCAGAGGCAGGCAGATGTCTGTAAGTCCAGGCCAGCCTGGTCTGAAGAGTGAGAAATCCTGTCTTGAAAAACAAACAAAAAGCAAAGAAATACAGAGTGGAGCTACAGTCTCTCTCCTGGCCTGGATGGCCGCTCCTCTTTCCTCCTTAGTACTTCTGCAGCTGCACCAACAGCTGTGGACTCATCCTTAGCAATCCTCTGGACCTGTGTTGGAGGAAATGAGACAGGAGAGTTTTCCGGGTCTAGCCCGGTCCTTGGAGGCCTGCTGCTCTCCATCAGATCACTAAGCGGTGGGAGTGTGCCACTGTACTGCTAGCCGGCAGCACAGGTGGAAGATTCCCAGGGGCAGAGGCACATCACAGCCACCATAGCCCTCAGGTCCTAGACAAGCTGAGGAGAGGGAATAGGAGGCAAGGCTGTGCTGGGTAGAGAGATCTGTAGGGATGGGGATGGAGTTGGCTCACCCAGGGATGACCCCTGGCGAGTAGGTAAGCAGGTGTGAGTTGAGTTGCTCAAATACTTTGTATACATCTGGTCAAACTAGGTCAATCTTAGGTCAGAGTCAGCCCAACTTCCTACATCCTGGCAAGAGCAGGGGCCTGACCCGCTCATCCATCCACTGGCCGAAAAGGCAGAGAAGGATGGGCAGCAGGTCATGGCCTATGTGCCAGCAGTGTAGAGGACATTGCCCTGGCAGAGGGCACACCCTGGGAGGCTGGGACGGCCGGAACAGGAGTGGAGGCACATCTGGCACTAGGAGAAGTTCCTAGCCAGGCTCCCTGTAGAAGGTTCTTGGCTGTCACTGTCTCTGACCGGGAAGAGATAATTTCCTGTTTACACAACAGAAACCTGAGGCTCAGGGGTGAGAAAAGGAGCTTGCGGGAGGATAAAGGGCCTTTACAGAGCTCTGTCTCATTATTCCGCACACCCGAACGCCACTTTGGCAGACAGCAGAGACATGCAGCAAAGTCTCTTATCTGTCCACTTCCAGAGGACGCCACAGTTTCAGGGTCCTGGTTGTTTCTGTTCTTTTAGGGTGGTGGGCCAGAAGGATGGAAACAATGCCCTGGAAGGCTGAGATAAGCCTATGTCTCCATTGCTGTAGACTCTCCCCAGCAGGTTTCCTTGACCTGCTTGTGGCCCCAGGGTGCTGGGGGTCAGTCTGAAGCTGTCTGTAACTTCCAAAACCCTGCTGGTCCTCTTAGTCTGGCAGGCTTGCAAAGCTCCTTCTTACTCCAAGGCCCAAACCCCTTTTGTTGCCACCTCTAGGGAGATCTGTCGGCATCATGGTTTCCTTTCCAGTTCCTCCATCCACACCGATTTCCCAGCCAATCTCACCTGTACCTTTTCTTTTCTCCTGGCACCCTGGATCATGCTTCACTCTAGATTTTGATAGTGAAGCTGCTGCACCAGGCAATCCCCCTCTCAGCCATCCATTCCAGTCTTTTCTCCCTGAATCAGGCCTGGCACTCTGATATAGGTCCCAACTCTTTGCTACAGGTCGCCATCATTTCTGGGGGCACTGGTCCCTTCACTCCCATGGCCTCTTGCAGGTTGACAGCTTTAAGCCTGGATGTCAATGAACAAGCTGCCTCCAAAGAGATCTTGCGTATTATTATTTAGATGGTGTGAATCCATCTCTGGCCTGAGTGGCAGTCTGAGCCTCAACCTCCCACTTTTCATCCCTGGTTTCATACTGAAAGTTGGTGTAGCCAGAGTGCTATCCCAGGAACATGTGGATGCCTCATGTTTACTGACGGGGGCAGTGGGGAAGGGATGGTAGAGCTCATATGACTCACATTTCAGGTTCACAAGGAGACATTTTCTTTCACTCTGCCTCCTTTCGGGTTAGTATTCACAAAGATCTAGCTCTGCCTTGCCCAGGTCCAGCTGAAAGGCATGCTGGGCCAGCAGCAAAGGAACGCTCGCTCTGGGAGACTGAGGAGATCAGGTTGGCTCTAATCCACAAAAGTCCATGCCCTGGGCTCTTTTCTGTGCACACTACAGGAAGACACCTGCAAGGTAGCGTTGGTTGTTCATCATGGTATGTGGCATGAACAGAGGGAGAAAAGAGGATACTAGAGATGTGGGGTGACCTCAATACGGAGGCTGGTGGCATCCTGTAGGAGAGGCTACCAGCTCCAGGGTGAGCACTTGCTTATCCTATAGAGGTGCTTCTTGATCCTGCTATCCACAGAAGAGCAAGTCGCTATTCTCCTGGGACCTTATAGCGTTTCTGAAGGAAATCAGTTGTTTCCCCAGGTCATGCACTGCGATGTCTAATTCAGGCGGGTTGCATGTCAGGTCAACGACCCAGGTGTGGGATGGGGTGTGGGGCGGTGGAGGAAGAGACCATGGTGATTAATGGGTTGCTTCATTTACCAAACAACTGGGCGGTTGCACAGACTTGCTGTGATACGAGTCTGGTTATTTCTCCAGCTTGATCCTTTGACCGGGTATGCCCTCCAAGGTCCATTTAAAGCGGTGCCTGCCGAACAGCTAGGGATCGCTCAGAGAACGTAGGTGCCAGCCAGGGCTGTTAGCGCAGCCAGTTGTGCGCGGAACACGGATCTGGGGCCTCAAGACGTCAGTGTGCGCACAGTTTCATAAATGACCCATACCCAAACCGCTGCTGGGTAGAGGGATGACGAAACTATGTATTTCCAGAAGTAGGACAAGGGGCAGGCAAGAGGTCAGGGGAAGTGCGCAGCTGCCAGGGAATCGGGAGCCGGTGTAATCCTCGGCGGTCCTTGTTCCTGGGACAGAACTTTGGACCAGTTCCACCGAAGTTCGCAACGCAATTGCGCGCAAAGTTGCTCCAGCTAGCGACTGCCGAGTTCCCAGAGTGCCATGCGCCGTTGACTTGCCGCGCCTTCAACTCCCAGGAGACTCCGCGCCCTGCTCCCGCAAATCCCAATGGGCTCCGCGTCTTCGCTCAGGCCCCGCCCCCGCCTGGCCTGGGACTACAAATGGACTCTCAGGGGACGCCACCGCCAGTCATCTGCTCCGCGGCAGCGCAGCCTCAGCGTCGCTGAGGTAGTTGCGGCTTGTGCCGGCTACGGAGGCCGGCAGGGGGCGGCGGCGGAGGCCGTTACTTAGGGTCCAGAGGCGGGGCCGCGGGTTCCAGGCGCTGTAAGCCGGCGGGCCACGACTGGGCCGTGACGAGGTGCGGGCCGAGGCCATGGGCGACCGCGGAGGCGCGGGCGGCTCTCGGCGTCGGAGGAATGGCTCGCGGGTCTCCGTCCAGAGTGGTGGCGGGCCCGTGGCAGCCGAAGAGGAGGTGCGAGACGCGGCTGCGGGCCCCGACTTGGGAGCCGAGGGTGACGCGCCAGCTCGGGCTCCAGCTCCAACCCCGACCCCGGACAAAGACAGACACACCAACGTGGGCGACGGCCACTGGGAGCTGAGGTAGCAGAGCGCCTGATCCCTACATCTGATCTCCCCAGCGACGCTCCCAGTTCTTAAAAGGTGGCCACAGCTTTGCGAGTCCCGAGTCTGGGGGTCCCCTTGGGCTACGCGGGGACATAGTCTTGGGGAAGAGGGTCACTTGCCAAGGTCACCCAGATAGGGTCGAGTAGCCAACCAGGGAGCCCGGGCAGAGGAGTAGGTAGCAGCCCCTTTTCCAGTTTGCTTAGGGAAGCGTACCTTGAGGCAAATCCCTTGAGGTCCCTTCTGAGGGATGGGTAGCAGGAAGTCTGGAGCCCTGGGGGTTGCTGGTGAATGGACTTTCCTCCGTAGAAGGAGGTAGATGTTTTTGGGGGAGGGTTATGATGAAGAGGTACCCTTGCAGAACTCTAGGGGGTGTCCTGTGGGTAGAAGGCGGCTAGAGGCTCCGGAGGACACAAGCCTGTGTGAGGAGAGTGGAATGGGCATTTGCCCAGGGCAGGGGACAGTACAGGAAGTTGTCTTGTACTAAGAGAGTGGCTTCATGGCTTATTCACCCCTCTTCCTGTAAGTAGGAGGGCCTGAAACCCTGCTTGTGCTACAGAATGACTGCAGGCTATAGGGACTGAGCTGACAGTTAAACTAGACTTTCCTCCCCTGGCTGGGTGCTGGTGGGAGGTTTGGTATGGACACACCTATGGGAGAGGTTGTGCTTCGCTGACTGTGAGAGCTGGGAGAATGCACCGTGTTCTTTGATAACATTGGCTGTCTCCTCCAAGCTGTCCCTGAGGCTCTTTCTGGTGTTCACCATGGGACCCTTTTCCGTAGTTCTGGGTTAGGGAGTAGCTAAGGGACTACTAGGAGAAGGTGGACAACTAGGCTGGCAGATTTGTTCTGTTTGTATCAAAGGAGTCTTTTTCTAGTGGGCACTGTGGGAAGGGGGCCCCCAGCTGCCCTTGGGTGTTCACAGTTCACCTAGAAGATAAGATAACTTCAGTGTGAGGCCTGGCACAGTGTGGACAAAGGTCAGGTAAGAAGGCCGTGAAGGCACAGTGTGGGAGGAGGCTGGCCCTCCTAAGAGGGATGGTGGTTTTCTGTAATTCACAACTTTGCTTGAAGGAGGTTGACTTCCCACTTTCCATCTGAGAAGATGATGTTCTCTCTCTCTCTCTCTCTCTCTCTCTCTCTCTCTCTCTCTCTCTCTCATTTTACTTCAAACAAACAAACAAACAAACAGGGTTTTCTGTGTAGCCCTTCCTTGTTGTTCTGGAACTCTATAGACCAGGCAGGTCTTGATCAGAGATCTGCATGCCTCTGCCTCCCAAGTGGTGGGATTAAAAGTGTCCATGCCCAACTCCATCTGAGAAGATGTGAAGGGTCCTAGAGTTCCCCTATGCTGACTACCCTCGTTGCCTTTCCCTTTAGGAGTCGGGAAGTCTGCTCTATGACCTTTAGAGGGGTAGGAATAGTGTCTTTTTATGTGAGATCTCAGTTGTGGACCAAGTTACTATTCAGCGATAGGCAAGAGAGAGCAGTCCCGTCTTTGGATGGCCACTCTTCTGTGTGAACTTTTTCTGTGTCCTTTGGTGTGAAGTTTGTGCAAAGATAGGAAATGTGTATGTGTGTGACATCTCTGCTGTGATTTCCCTTCCCCATAGATAGATGGTAGATTGCAGAGGTGGGGGTGGGGATTCTAATTTGGGAATGGCACAGGGTTTGAGGCCTCCTAATTGAGGCGCTAGATTCCATTCTTTCTGTTGGTGGGCCAGGCTCTGACTGCCCTCTTGGAGTTGGCCTGTAGCTCACCCCATTGCCACTGTTCTTTTGCCAACTCCCCCTCCCTTTGTTGTTGCACTTGGCAGTCCAACCTTTCTCTCACCCTTCCTCTTGACTCCCTGAATTTCTGTATCCTCCCCTCCCCTGTACTTCCTGCTCACTTTAAGCTGGGCCATTGAGCCCGGTCCTGAATGTCAGTTCCTTTCTTCTACCCTGTGGCAAGGTGAGGCAGTAAGTTCTGTCTACTATTCACCTTTCCAGATGGCACACATTCATGGGCACCCAAGGCAAGACCTTAGGGTGGTGGGTTTTTCCCATGGTATTTGTCCCTGAACGTCTTTTATACATCTCTAGTAGGGTCTGGGAATTTATGAGGATCTTGCTTCAACCTTCTTATACCCCAGGGCTTGGCTCAGAGGGCAGCTCAGAGGAAGTGCCAGGTGTCAGCTAGAAGAGTAGCTGGTATTCTCTTCCCTTCTCTTAATGTTTAGTGTTGAATCTGAACTGATGTCCCTAGATGAAGTTCGTACTTGGAGATTTATTCTTTGAGTGTGTGGGGGGGATGGGCATGTTCTTGTCTTACAATGCTTCTGTGGGGTTGCAGGAGAGGCAGGAGAGGGTGCTAGTTCTTCCTTGCTAGCTTCCTTGCTTGTGTGGTTTACCTGGGTAGACCTGGGTGGTATAGGAGGGAGGGCCTCAGGGAGTGAGTGTAGGACATGGGAAGGCCCTTTAGTAGGTGAGAGGGTGGCTCAAACGGCTGTGATCATGGCTAGCCAGCTCCTCTTTTCCCTGCATTTCCATTTCTGCAGCCTGCCCTTCAGCCCACTTGCTTCTGGTCGCAGTGGCAAGCCTAGACTTTGCAGACATTGGTGGATGGGGGCTTCCTCTCCTAGGATCTATGAAGGGAAGGTGTAGCATAGGTGGAGGCAGGGCAGTGGAAATGCTGCCTTCATGATGCTGGATGGGCAGTCCGTAGAAGGAGGGACCGGAGACATTGGTGTGGATAGTTAAGGAAGGAATTAGAAGCCCAACAGAAGGAACCTGAAAATAAGCTCTTAGGACATTGTCTGCTAACCCAGGCAAGGCCTTCCACGTGGTGGCACATGTCTGCAATACCAGCACTAGAGAGGCTAAGGCAGGAGGATCATCAGCAAGGACAGCTTGACTACACAGATCATGTCACTTAAATCACAAAACAAAAATTGTCTGCTTACTGCCAACTCTGGAATGGAGGACCTATTCTCTACTTCTGTCTTCATTCTGGAGATGGCCACAGAAAAAAGCAGCATGGTTGCCCAAAGGGGAGAAGGGTCAGGTGTTTTTTTTTTTTTTTTTTTTTTTTTTTTTTTTTTTTTAGTTTATTTAATTTAATATCTGCCAGAAGAGGGCACCAGATCTCATTACAGATGGTTGTGAGCCACCATGTAGTTGCTGGGAATTGAACTCAGGACCTCTGGAAGAGCAGGCAATGCTCTTAACTGCTGAGCCATCTCTCCAGCCCCGAGAGAAATCAGTTTTGTGAAACAGCTTTGGTTATGGTGGATTGTGGCACAGAGGCCAGCTATGAAGTTTTGGGGCCAGGAGGCTTTGGGATAGTTGTGCTGAAAACACAGGACTTCAGCTTGGGGGAGGGGACTGATGGGAAGGTCTAGCAGACAGATGCAGAATACATTCCTGCTTGCCTTATGGTGTTGCCTCTTTATTTTATTTATTCATTTATTTATTTTTATGGTGTTACCTCTTAAGGATAACTACATCAAGCCAGTGAAAACAGTTTGGGGATATACCCCAAACAAAGACAGCAATCAGAAGGCAGGTGCAGATTGGAAAGAAAGGGGGGCTCAGATAGAGACTACAGTCGTATTATATGACTTCTATCACATAGGCCTAGTGTGTAGATGCTGGAAGGCTAGTCTTTAGGAAATGGACAATTGGAAATGGAGTTGGGCTAGAACTAGGGTGGAATTAACTCACGTTGGTGCTCTAGCATGGCGTAGACAGTAAGAGGGGTTTGACTACTCTCCAACTAACCAGGAGTTAGTGTAGATGGGACTAGGTGCCAAGCAGATCTCTTTCTCTCTCTTCATTTTCTTAACCACAGGGTTTCTCTGTGTAGCCCTTGCTGTCCCGGAACTCATTCTGTAAACCAGGCTGGCTTCGAACTCAGAAAGCTACCTTCCTCTGTCTCCTGAGTGTTTTTTTGTTTGTTTTTGTTTTGGGTAGATCTCAATCTTGAGTCTGGTGGTGGTGACACACACCTTTAATCCCAGCGCTCAGGAGGCAGAGGCAGGCAGATCTCTGTGAGTTTGAGGCCAGCCTGGTCTACACAGTGAGTTCCACGACAGCCAGGACTATTACACTGAGAAATCCTGTCTCAAAAAGAGGAAAAAAGAAAAAGATCTCAGTCTTCATAGTCAAGAAGGAGCTTGTTGGTATTGCCCCTCAGCCTCCTTGACCCCTCTTCTGGAGAGGGCTGTCAGGCTTCCAACCCTAACGAAAGCTAGGGCTTGCCCCTTATTATAAGGCAAGGTCAGCTCTAAAAGGGCATCTGTGGGATAGTCCTATAGTAGGTTCCTGGCCTGCTCCTCTTCCTCCTCAGATGCCCCAGGGCAGAGGTGTATGTGGTGAGAGGAAGGAGAGGCCCTACCTCTTTGCTTACAAAATCTATGTCTTGCTCAATTCTGTGTGGCTTCCTGGTGGCACAGCAGCTGGAGGGCAAGGTGGAGCCACAGTTGGTGTGAGTGAGGGTTCTAGGATGTTCCTGTTGTCTTTATCTATAGCCAAGTCTGGTCCTTATCCTAGTCACACAGTGCTCCTCTGCCTGCCCTGATGTATTTCTTCACAAGCAGTGTCTATTTGGGTGTCCTCATCCAGTCACTGGGTGAGAGCCTTCATGGGTAGGAAGTTTCTGGGGGTTTTCATCGGGCCCAAGTAGTTAGTTGCCTCATGGCCCCTGAACAAAGGCAGGGACACAGAACTTGAACTGTGATGAGAGGGCCGTGGGGCCAAATCACTGCTCCTGAGAAAGGTACATTAAGGTTGGGCACTAGGCCAGCTATTATAATGGACCTCTGTGTCTAAATGTAGGGAGGATGCTTTTCCTGGCTATGGTGGGGACTCTTCTGTGCGTGATGTGGTAGGTGGGATGGGCAGATTGGGCAAGGTAGACTCCATCTTGTCTTGCTGTCCCAGCAGTACTTGATAGGTCCACATAGGTCCACACATGCCCAGGAGGGATTATCTTTGTGGCCCAAGAGCTTGGCTGCAGTTGGAGATTTCTGGAGCTCAGACTCCATGAAGGCCTGTCTAGCCTCTTCTGCTTGTGATGAACATTTTTCTGCTAGAGGGAAAGATCTCTGGGTGGTTCTGAGACCTTTTCCTCTAGTAGCTATGTAGCCTCTGGAATGGCTTTGCCTGGCTTCTCTTCCTGTTTGTAAATGGGTAATGGACTCTAGGTAAAAAGACACCTGGAGCAGGAGTTGGTTGTGATGTGTTTATCCCTGTCATACTGGTTATTGCTTACTGGACAGGATCCTGTCTCCTTTTTTGCTAGGTGCCACCGTCTACAAGAGTCTTTGTTCAGCTCAGACAGTGGTTTCAACAATTATCGTGGCATCCTGAATTGGTGTGTGGTGATGCTGGTGAGTAGGAATGTGGGAACAGACTCACTGAGGCTATGTGTGGCAGAACCTTCCAGGGTGCCCTTGCCCTGGTACAGGCTCTGCCCTTTGAAGGCTGGTTGGAAGGAAGCAGGGGTAGTCCTTGCAGTAGCTACATTGGCTTTCTCTTGGATCCCAGGCTAGCTCTGGGTGGTTCAGTGGTAGTAGAGACAATGAGTCTCTTGAATACTCTGCTGTGCCTCAGGTTCCCCTTGGCTGTGCAGGTGTGATATGGGAGATCAGGGACATAAAGGGGGAGTATAGGTTGCTCTCCAGTCTGGGAGGCGCACTCTGTGGCCTTCCTAGAAAAGTATGGAAGAAATCTTGAGGATGTATGTCCTATGCCACGTGGGCAGAACCAGCCACTGCTTTGTAGGCCTTCTAGTCCCTTTCCTTCAACCTTGGGTATTGGTAGTTGGGCTGCTATGCCATTTCCAAGCCTGTTGCCTCTAGGGCCTTGTTCCTACTGGGGCCATGCATCTCCACCCCAGAAACCACTGGAGTCCAAGGCTCAAAGGGACAGCCTAATGAGTGGGTCAGGGCAAAGGGCTATCATCACCCAGCTTCTAACACTCAGATATGATCTGATACCTATTGCCTTTGCCCAGAAGCGTCTGTTCCTGCTTTAGACATGGCTTCTTTGGCCATCCAGTGTGGAAGGGACTCTACCCTGTTGTGCCCTGAAAGGTTTCTGAGCTTTCAGCACCTTTTCCATGGACAGAGCTTTAGGCCTTGGTTAGCTGTACCACCTACATGGTGCCTTCTCTGACCATCTAGGCAAAGAACCCTACCGGTGTTCCCTTCTGCTTCTATCTGTTTGGGTAGTTGGCCAGGTTGGTGACTCCAGGCCTATGATTGGTGCTTGTAAAATGGCCGAAGAAGGAGACCAAACACTGAGTCTCAGGCTAGAGTCTAGAGGCTCAGTCCGTAGATGGGCTATGCTGGACTCACACTCATGGAGCTTTGAGTATTGCTAGAGCAGCTGACTCTGGTACAGAAAAGCCCACCCCTGTTCTTTTCGTTTTTTTTTTTTTTTTTTTTAGATTTATTTATTTATTATGCATACAACATTCTGCCTCCATGTATGCCCGCACACCAGAAGAGAGCGCCAGATCTCATTACAGGTGGTTGTGAGCCACCATGTGGTTGCTGGGAATTGAACTCAGAACCTCTGGGAGAGCAGCCAGTGCTCTTAACCTCTGAGCCATCTCTCCAGCCCTCTTTTCGGTTTTGATGGGTCTTTTTGCTGCTTGTCCTGTCCTCAGGGTTTGCTGTAGCCTCCTGTCTCTCAATTAGGCACTGAAGGGACCAGTACCCTGGGCAAGGGTAACTGCCAGATGTGTTGGGGTCAGGTGGGCTGTTTAGCACCAATAGGGCTGAACCCTCCTGATTGTCTTTTGCAGATCCTGAGTAATGCCAGGTTATTTTTAGAGAACCTCATCAAGTGAGTACCTTTTCCAAGCCCCTCTTACCTCATCCCTGCCTCCCTAGGCAGTGAAGCCCACCTCTACTCAGGCCCCCATTGCCCCACCCCCAGGTATGGCATCCTGGTAGATCCCATCCAGGTGGTGTCTCTGTTTCTGAAGGACCCCTACAGCTGGCCTGCCCCATGCCTGATTATTGGTGAGCTGCACTCCAAGAAGGGCCATGGGTGGGGGAACAGGCTGATGAAGGCCTGAACCTGTCCTGTGATGCTTCTGTCCTCAGCATCCAACATCTTTCCTGTGGCTGCATTTCAGATTGAGAAGCGCCTGGCAGTGGTAAGTGGTGCCCATCCCCCTCCTTGCTACAGTCACTGGTGGTTTGGTTGTGATAGACTCTTCTTACTAGGCCTGAAGGTCTTCTCCCAGGGCAGAGGACCTGGTTGAATGCTCTCCTTCTCTCTCCAGGGTGCCCTGACAGAGCAGATGGGGCTGCTGCTACATGTGGTTAACCTGGCTACCATCATCTGCTTCCCAGCAGCTGTGGCCTTACTGGTTGAGTCCATCACTCCAGGTGTGCCTCCATTCTAACCATTCCAGCCCAAGTTGAGCTGACATTAGGTTGTTCATGTGATGTGGGTGTCATAGCCGAGTCCACCTTTTCTGTGTTAACTGTGGTGTATGGGTAGACATGGCTGATACCTATCTTGCAGTGGGTTCTTTGTTTGCCCTGGCATCATACTCCATCATCTTCCTCAAGCTCTTTTCCTACCGGGATGTCAACCTGTGGTGCCGCCAGAGAAGGGTCAAGACTGAAGCTGGTAAGAGACCGTCAGGACTAGAACTCGCCTATAGGACTGACTCTGGGCTGCATGGCTCACCTTGCTGTCTTGCTTTTCTGGCAGTTTCTGCAGGGAAGAAAATCAGTGGGGCTGCTGCTCAGCAAACTGTGAACTACCCAGACAACCTGAACTACCGAGGTGAGGAGCTGTGGGGTTGGGATTCTCAGAGGCAGGACTGTAAGTCACACTCAAGGCTATGTCATCCTAGTACCCACCCTTCTCTTCTAGATCTCTACTACTTCATTTTTGCTCCTACCTTGTGTTATGAACTCAACTTTCCTCGGTCCCCTCGAATACGAAAACGCTTTCTGCTACGACGGGTTCTTGAGATGGTGAGGTTTGGGCCTTGAGGGTTGTCTGGGCAGGACTTGGGGTGTGTGTAACTAGTTTCTCAGCTGGCTGCCTTGTTCTTCCCTCAGCTCTTTTTCATCCAGCTTCAAGTGGGGCTGATCCAGCAGGTAAGTGCCGTGAGTGGGTGTACGGTGGGGCTTAGCACAGTGGAGGGGAACTAATGTGGTACTTTCCTTTGTAGTGGATGGTCCCTACTATCCAGAACTCCATGAAACCCTTCAAGGTAAGGTTAGGTTCCACTGTGGCAGGGGTGGGTAGAGTAGAGGACACAGCCAGCTGAGGCAGCCTATCTCCACAGGATATGGACTATTCACGTATCATCGAGCGGCTCTTGAAGCTGGCGGTGAGTGTCAGAGGCTCCAGTGGGATGAGGGTGAGGGTTATGAGGGAAGTCTGCAACCTGGAACCCTGTCTCCCCTAGGTTCCCAACCATCTGATCTGGCTCATCTTCTTCTACTGGCTTTTTCATTCCTGCCTGAATGCTGTGGCAGAGCTCATGCAGTTTGGAGACCGCGAGTTCTACCGGGACTGGTGGTGAGTAGTATGTCTCTAGGGATCTGGGTAGATCATGGCATGTTCTGCTTATTCCATTGTTTCTTGACCCCAAGGAATGCTGAGTCTGTCACCTACTTTTGGCAGAACTGGAATATCCCTGTGCATAAGTGGTGCAGCAGGTAGGGTGGTATTTGCACCTGTGGAGTGTGGTTGTGGATGGACCTGGGCCTTATGGCATTAGCCTCATCCTATGGCTTCCTTGCTCTGCAGACACTTCTACAAGCCTTTGCTCCGACTAGGCAGCAACAGATGGTTGGCCAGGACAGGGGTGTTTTTGGCCTCAGCCTTTTTTCATGAGGTCAGTGCTTTAGGCATATCCCACTTCACCTCTGGACAAGGCTGGGCCACCCACTAAAACACTAACGTCTCTTCTCCTCATCCTCTAGTACCTAGTGAGCATTCCCCTGCGTATGTTTCGTCTCTGGGCATTCACAGCTATGATGGCTCAGGTGAGCAGCTCTGATGCTTGTTTCCCTTAGCCTGTATCTGTGCCAGGCCCCACCTGACTATAGCCTCATTTGTCCTCAGGTCCCACTGGCCTTGTTTGTGGGCCGCTTCTTCCAAGGAAACTATGGCAATGCAGTTGTGTGGCTGACACTTATCATTGGGCAGCCAGTGGCTGTGCTCATGTATGTTCACGACTACTACGTGCTCAACTATGATGCTCCAGTGGGGGCCTGAGATACTGCCAAAGGCCGGCCCTCCCTAACCTGGGCCAGGAGTTCCGGAGGGGTTCCTGGCTGCCTGCACACTCCTCCTAGTCTGGGAGGCCTCTCTGCCCCTATGGGGCCCACTCCTGCTCTTGGGGATGGCACCCAAGTCCAGCTGGTATAAACCAGTGCTGGGAGTTTGTACTGATCAGGGGCCGAGGGCATCAATAAAGTGCCGTCTAAAAACCTTCCTCAGCCTGCTGGCGTCATGGAAGCCTCTGCTTTAGGGACTAAAATTCTCAACCTCTGGTTTAAGCATATAGTGCTGGAAAGATTTGTTTCCAGCGAGTCGAGTCTACAATCTCATGGAGTATATGGACAAAGTTGTTCAGCTGCAGGACAGGGCATAGGCAGCCACATGTAGTGATGGCCCTAGAACAGTAGCTGAGCAAGGTTACTGCTCAGGAAAGGCCGGTGAGTTCTTAACCTATCTTGTTACTCCAGGCAGGGTTGGGGCACAGAGCTATGTGGACTCAATAGATGACCCTGTAGCAGGCTGGCTATATTGTGTCTAGAACCCTTGTGAGGAGTCTGGTTTAAGAGATGACATGCAGGGCTCACTTGTGTTGATGAGACTCCAGGTAAGCACCCAGATTCCACAGCGCCACTAGATCTGTCATCTCTAGAGGTGGGGCCATCATGGAGAGGACTTTGTATGCTGACTGCCTAGGGCCCAGGAATTAATACACACTGTGTCTTAAGATATGTTTCAACTCCTTGGGATCAGGCAGCTCAACAAAGTTGGGCTAGTAGCTCTAGGCTGTGCTGCACAGGGGCCAAACTTGACTGGTCTCAGCCTACTCTTCCAAACTACCTTTCGCTCTCAAGAGACAGCTGTGAAGAGGGAGACTTTGCCCCCAAGTTCTGGTACCTGCTAAATTGGAGAGAGTCCCATTGGCAATCCAGAGTCTTAATTCTTAACTCAATGGGTCAGTGCTTGTCAGCTGCCAGAATCTGCCAGGCTATAGACTTTAACTTGTAGTTACATGGCTATCTAGCGCTATGCAGGGTAGGCTGTGATCTCAGCTGCCTCAGGACACAGGGTTTGTGCCACAGCATGTCACAGGCCACCTGTGAGGCCATTTCCACCTGTCTTCTCACACTCTAAGGAGACGTCAGGAGCAAGTCCCAAACCAGTCCAGTAACTGACAGATGTGGGAGCCTGGCTCTGCCAATATGTCCAGATTGCCATGCAGAACATTTGAATGGATACACCTCGGAATTGCGGAGGGGCACTACTGACAACGTGGGCCAGATTGTTTTAGGATCCTAAAAAAAAGCTGTGAGCCAGGTGGTGGCGCACACCTTTAATCCCAGCACTTGGGAGGCAGAGGCAGGTGGATCTCTGTGAGTTCAAGGCTAGCTTGATCTACAGAGTGAGTTCCAGGACAGGACAGCCAGTGCTACACAGAGAAACCCTGTTTTGAACACCCCCCCCCCCAACCACAAAAACAAAATTGTGATCAGATACTAGTTCTATGGCTTCAAGTGGGCCTAGGGGTTTCACAGGTGTCTATATTTATTTCCCCAAGGTGGCATGTAGTGCATTCTGGGCTTCTAGCCTGCATCGCCACCTTCTGTATCCCTCAGGGCAGGAGGAAACATAGGAGGCAACAGCAGAGCCTGTCTGTTTATCATCTATCCATCTGTATGTGTGTGTGTGTGTATATATATATATATTTATTTATTTATTTGTGAAGGGCTAAAGGGGACTCTCATGTAAAAATCCAAAATACAATTTTATGAACAACCTGCAGGATCAGTCCAAGTGTGGCTGTGAAGGTCCAATGCAGACAGTAGACCTGGACTGTGTAAAGGCAGCAGGTATGCGGCCCTCGGGACCGTCCTCTTGACCTGAAGCACTGCCCAGGCTCATGCCCCATCTGTGTTCCACTGGGGTGGTAACTTGATCTAGGATGCCCTGGACTGCGACTGTCTTGTCTCCCTAGGACCAGCTATGTCCTAGCAGTAGGTTGGGAGTCAGCCACAAACCATCCTGACAACTCCTGGGATGTCTAGGAGACAGTGGGATCCTTGGCTTTGGGGGGTTCAGTGCCCGTCAGAAGAGAGATGGTGGGGTCATCCGTGTAGTCATCCCCCTCGGAGAAGTAAGAGCTTTCCCCCAGCTCAAAGAGCACAGGCAGTTCGCTGTTCCCTGTGTCCACAGCGTCAGGGTCCAACAGGAACAGGGGTTGAGCCGTGTAGTGTACCAGCTGCTTCCCTGTAGGCATGGGTCAGGATGGTGGGGATCGGCAAGTTGGAAGTGAGGGTCAGGGGTGGGACAGAATTGCTTAGCTCACCTGAGTCAGGGTTACTGTTCTCTGCCTCAATAGGTTTGGGGGGCTCTTGGGGAGATAAGAGCTCCTGAATCTGTGGGACAAAGAACACACAATGAGAGTTGTTGATGGTCCCCTCTGCCCCCCACCCTGCCCGCCTACGCACGCTGGCCAGGCTGCTGTCCAGGTCAGGCAGGCTCATGTCGGGCATGGTCACCGAGGGGCTGAATAGCTGCAGGAGGAGGGAGGGAAGTCAGGGCTGGCTTGTGGGCAGGCTGGGTCAGGGTGGGTGGGGATGACCAGACTCACGTCCAGCAGTGCACTGGTGTCCACGCTGAAGCCGTGGCTTGTCAGCATGGTCTGCAGGTTGTCCAGGTTGGAGTCCATGGCATCCAAGTGATCACTGAGCTCGTTCCTGGCCCAGGGCAAGTGGGCAGGTGAACTAGTGCCCCAGGTTCCCGCTCCCCTTTGGTTGCAGCCCCCCAAGCAAGGTCCATCTGCGTAGCCAGCATGAGCTGGGGGACAATGTGTGTGGATTTCTGGGAAGATGCCAGAAAGGGCAGTAGTAAGCTTGCCCTCCATAAATGCTGAGGGTGGGACATAGCATGGCCCATTGGCAGGACATCCTAGGAGGCTCTGGTAAGGACTAAGGCTGGGACAAGAGGGTGGTGGAGAAAAAGGACAAGGGGTGTTGGCTCTAGAAAGGGCAGGCAGATATTTCAAGCTCAACAGTCTTGCCACTGCACCAGGAAGAGAATAAGAGAGGAAACAGGACTGTGCTTTTAATGGGTAGATCTGTACTCCCTTAGATCAGAAGACCTTAGGCCAAGGACATACCTGAGGCTTGGGCAAGGCAGTAAAAAGGGCTCTGTAGGTACCATGGGGCCTACCCTACCCTGACAGGAAGCTCATCATAGCAGTCTGTACTGGTGGCTGGGCCAGGCAGGAAGCGTGTCCCTATCACAGCTTTTGGCTTGTGCACAGGGGAGGCAGTGGAGATGCAGAGCCTGTGAGACCATCCCCTGGTGCTCTTCGCCTGGCAGGGCAAGTGCTATGCCCAGGTTGGGAACTGGTCCATGGCTGTGGGAGGGGCCCTGGCGGAGTCCTCCTCCCTCCCAAGTGGGGGCAGCGCTAACCCTGGCTGGACTCGGCCATGCAGAAAGGAAGAGGAGGGGCAGGGGAAGAGGCGGGCGACCCCAGACATCTGTGGAGCGCGAGCCAAACTGCAAGATACAAAGACAAGAGCCCCCCCATTGCAGGCGGGGGACGGGGGGATCTGTGCCCACCGTCCTCGCTCGCTCAGCCTTTGGGATGTGCCTGAGGGGTGGTCAAGGCTGGGCCCTGGCTCATCATTTCCTGTGTCAGGTCTAGGGAGAATAACAGATCCAAAGATCCTGGGGCTTGCCACAAAAGAGGGTGATGCCAGTAGGGAGGGTGGCCCAGGAGGCAGGGGTATATCCCATTTCTAGTGATGTGGTTGGTCTCCCTCCCCAGCTTCAAGCTCACTCTGAGGTCTGAGGGAATAGATCCAACCCATCACTCCCAGCAAACAGCAGGGATTGTGCCTTGCTAAGACACAGATACCCTGTATCCAGCCTGAGGAATCTCATGCTGTGGGGGGCTTATAGGTTAAAGGGAGGCAGGATGGGCATATCACTCACTTGTCTAGACAGGCTACGCTGAGGCACTTCTCAGGGGTAGAGGAGGGCAGGGGTGTGGGGGCATGGGCTCCGGTTGTATCCACAGAGGCTGTGTTTGAGGCAGCAGGGGTAGGCTCGCTCTCTCGAAGGATGGAGTCAATGAAGGCAGTTGGGGATAAAGGTGTATCCATGGAGGATGGGCGCCCAGGGCTTGCCTCCAGTACCCGAGGGCTCCGAGGTGGGCTGGGGGGCTCTTCCTTGACACGGATCAGGGTGCTGCTGGATAGGGGTCTGAACATGTTATACATAGGGAGACATGTTAGAAAGCGCCTAAGTTAGCTCCACCCGCTTCCAACTTTGCCCAGGACCCTTAAAGGCTAGCCCACTAGCGTGACAGGAGGTATGAGGGTGACGAAGCCCAACCTCTCATCTATGCTCCTGCCTGGGGACGCCAAAGGGCTGGTAGGAGTCAGCTCAGTGATATCGGAGATAATGGGTCCAGAGCTGGTGACCGCATCAGAGGTGTAAAGGCTAGAGCTGCTGTAGGCTGGAGATGGAGCCTGCAATTAGAGACAAAGGCCACATGCAAGACATACCTGTGGTAGTTTGGGTCACCCTGCACCCACTAGGGAAGTCTCATGGAGCTTGATGCTTACTGAGTATGGGCCAGGACCATGGACATGTTCCAGGGAGTACTGTCGACCATACTTGGGCACAGAGTGTGCTGAGCTGCTATCGCTCAACATCAGAGGGCTGCAGGGAAGAGACAGGTTAACTGCCGACACAGACCTTGGTGGTGCCCAGGATATACAGCAAGCAGAGGACACAAGGTGCAGGGCCAGAGTGGACAGTGCAGGCATCCCCAGAGCCTCACATCTTTCTCTTCACCCCTAGGATCCGGTTCGACTGCACCAGTGAGATCAGGAACTGAATGAGCTGTGGGGCAGAGAGGATAACAGTCACCCTGGCCCAGTGATGGAGGGGACCCACCTACCACCAGTCCTGCCCACCTTGTTGACAACTTTTTGCTGCTGGGCATGCTTCTGCCGCAGGCTGGCCACCTCCCGCCACAGGGCCTCGTTCTCGCTGCAACACATTGCTGGGTCAATTGGGCCATATTTGAAGAGCCAGGGAGTCAGGCTGTTGACAGACTAGTGAGACAGGGCTGGACCAGGTGAGAGCTCATGGCACCACTGACTCCCCTGGCTCTGCTACACTTCTAGGGGAGGACTCAGGTGTCAGCTGGGGAGGGAGGGCATGGACAGAGAGAGCCTCATGGTACACCTCAGGATTTCAGTCAAAAGAGGTCACAGGGACTTGTCACACACTGGCTAGACACATAGGTCAGGACTTTGGGAAAGACCCCAAACTGCTGATTATCCTCGGTTTGGGGGTAAAAGGCAGCTGAGAACTGTGTGCCCTATACTGAGTAATAACGGAGGAGTGGGGCCGCTAGGAATAGAGAACAGGGAGGGGTCTGCTCCCAGGACTGTTCTGGTTGGCTCCTGCCAGCCCTAATTTTAAGGGAGACACATTGAAGGGGGAGGGGGGGCTGTGAGCTCACATCCTGAAAAGGTGGCGGCCCAGCAGGGGAATGAGAAGTGGGTGCAGCAGGGAGTTCCCAACCCTGTCCTGAGGGGGGATGAACAGGCCAAGCAGTGTGTCACAAAAACAATGGAAGGCAGGTTGGGAATGGTTTCTGCAGGGTGGGGCAGGATAGACCCCAAGTAACCTAGGCACCCTCCTGAGCCTTGGGACCTACTGCTTCATAGCCAGGAGCTTGGAGTCCATACACTCCTGTTTCCCCTTCATCAGCTGCACATCCGTCAACAGCCTGGTGACACTGTCCTGGCGTATTTTTATGTCTTCATTCTTCAAAGTGGACACCTAAGGATAAGGGCATACAAGAGTCTGAAGTGGCATCCAGGGAGTGGGGAGGGTCTGGTAAACACTGAGAAGGGGGGGGGCGGGGGCGGTGGGACACACGACAGAGATAGATGAGGGTACAGGCTATGTGTGCTTTCAGGCTAGTCTTGCAGCACCATCAAGATACTGCAGAGAGGTCTGAGGACAGGGAGGAGCTGTACTCAGGGTTGGTGACTCACACTGGTCACTTTCCTCTTGATGTTCTCAAGGAGTTGTTCCTGGCCACGCAGGAAACATGGATGCTGGAACTCGGTGTCATCCCTCTCAGGCTTGACCAGGCCGCCCTGCTCAATGTGGACTACTTTTCGGAAGCCATCTGTGCACATGGGGGTGGGGTAATTCTGCTTGAGGGTCAGGGAAGAGAACTCCAACAGCCTAGCCATGCTCTAGGGTAGACAAGGGGCCTCCTAAAAAACTGCAAGATTCTAGCTGGTGCCTACTTAGTCAAGTTAGTCATGGTTGGAAAAGACCTTGTCTTCCACAGCTTCCGCTCTTGCAAATGGAGGTGTAGCTACTAGGGTAGGGTCTCATACTCTTCTCTGGGGAACTCAGGCTTACACCCATGAGGATCCTTCCTTAGCCAACCCAGGCGTCCATCTCTCAGCAGCATGTCGAGTCTGTTTCTCACATCCCCGGGAAGGACACATACCATCCCACAGAGGTACTTACACATGTTGAGCTGCCGCACGAAGCTGGCCATGTTGTTGTGCTTGAAGTACTTGGGCAGCACTTCCTTGGCAAACTGGCCCTGGTCAAACACGTGGAAGCTGTTCCCACTCTGTAAGGAGACATACAGGCAGGTCAAATATAAAAGCTGCTACCATATTTCCACCGTAGCCTGAAGCGCCTCTTCATGGGTGGTAGGCAGTACACATTCTCCCTTCATAGAGGAGGAGGTAAGTTCAATGTTAGGATTCCATAGTTGGCATCTAGGTTATGGAGCCCACCTCTGAACAGCTAGAATCATGTAGCCACAGACAGGTTCCTACTCCCTGGCAATTTTAGACTCATAAATCGCCCACAGCATTCTGTGCCATCTCTAGGGACTGACTAGCATTTAACTTTAATCAGCAAATTTTCTTTTTTATTTAACTTTATTTTATGTGCATTGGTGTGAAGGTGTCAGATCCCCTGGAACTGGATCTTCAGACAGTTGTGAGCTGCCATGTGGGTGCTGGGAATTGAACCTGGGTCCTCTAGAAGAGCAAGCAGCCAGTGCTCTTAACCGCTGAGCCATCTCTCCAGCCCCCCTCTTTCTGGTTTTTAAAGACAAGGTTTCTCTATGTAGTTTTGACTGTCCTGGAATATACTCTGTAGACCAGGCTGGCCTCGAACTCCTAAGTGCTAGGATTAAAGGGGTGTGCCACCACTGCTTGGCTTCTTTTTCAGTTTAAGGTGAGAACTCGAGACTGTTGAACACTGCATGGCTGCTCTTCTGTGCGGGTACTCTCCTGAACATAGTCCGGAACCACTAGGAGGGGCTGAAGGGCCGTGGCAACTCAGAGGCATTGGATACTGGAGTGGGGAGGCCCCACAGTGGGAAGGGGACAGCAGTAAATTGCTGGGGTGAGGAGCTTATAATACAGGCATGTAGAATACATCAAAAGGAGCCCAAGGTGTTGGATTAGCACTAGGGCAGAAACAGCAGGGCAGGTGGACACAGGAGAAAAAGAATGCAAAGCAGCAATGAAAGCACTGGGAGGAAGCAGTGGGCTCTTTACGCAACACATCCAGTTTCCATTCTTCCCTTCAGCTTTGAAGCCAGTGGGAACAATGGCAGTGGGGACATGGCAAGAGCTAACTCAAGATTCTGGTGCTAAAGGACTCTCCAAGCAAGGCTGGCTTTGCTTGACCTAAGGCTGACTCAGTCCAGAAACATAAAAAAGCATGTAGAAGAAGATTTTAAATGGCTGCTGACACAATGTAGAACACAGTCTAGCCAGAAACCTTAAAAGGCGATGAATGAGGGATCACTAGGAATCTGAAATATTCCTAGGACTCCAATGGCTATGCACACATGAGATCTGTTCCTAGGGAAGACCTAGGAAGCCCACGGAGTGTTCCCTCTGGCAGGAATGGGAAGTAGGCTATAAAGTTGGGTTGTTGCCGGGCGGTGGTGGCGCACGCCTTTAATCCCAGCACTCGGGAGGCAGAGGCAGGCGGATCTCTGTGAGTTCGAGACCAGCCTGGTCTACAGACAGGCTCCAGGACAGGCTCCAAAGCCACAGAGAAACCCTGTCTTGAAAAACAAAAAACAAACAAACAAACAAAAAGTTGGGTTGTTAACTTCTAGGCTACTTGTTAAAGATGGGAATCAACATACACACAGAGGCCTGAGGAAAGACAGGAGACTCACTGGCTCCAGTTGTTTAAGGAAATTTTAGCTCCATTTACCCAAGTAAGGCAACTCTTCATAGTAGCTATCACATACTAATGCAAAGTCAGAAACAAGAAGCTATGGCTGGGACTGATAAGATGGCTGTGGATATGTTTTTGCTGCTTGCAAAGTCCTTTCCTGGTCTTGAGTTCACAGCCGGATTATGAAATGACCATTATGAATCCCATTTAGTTTTTTTTTAAAAAATCATTTAATTTAAATTAAAAAGAAAAGTCATAACTTATAATAGGAAAAAAAAGCAATTTATGTCCCTATGTTGGACTCATGAGAATAAGGATTCTAACTTAGCTATTTTACTTAAAATAGTATGGCCAAAGAACTGAAGAACCATACAGGAAGGACTAAGGTATAAGGATGATGTCCTACTAAATGGAAAATCTCAGTAAAACAATAAAAATGAAAAAGAAACACCAAGTAGATACTCTGGAATTGGAAAGCTAACTCAGGCTAAAAATTCACTTGGGGGCAGAGCAGTGGTGGTACACACCTTTAATTAACCCTAGTACTCAGGAGGCAGAGGCAGGTGAATCTTTGTGAGTTTAAGACCAGCCTACTCTACAGAGCCAGTTCCAAGATAGTCAAGGCTACAAAGGGAAACCCTGTCTTAAACAAACAAACAAACAAACAAACAAACAAACAAACAAACAAACGTCACCTGGGGACTCAAGAAAGAGAACAGGGAAAACTGTGAGTCAACAAGCACAAACACGGGCCTACTGAGATTACAGTCTGCAGACAGAAAACATGAGTGTGTGGTGGTTTGAATAAGAATTTCTCCCGCCGGGCGATGGTGGCGCACGCCTTTAATCCCAGCACTCGCGGATCTCTGTGAGTTCGAGACCAGCCTGGTCTACAGAGCTAGTGCCAGGACAGGCTCCAAAGCCACAGAGAAACCCTGTCTCGAAAAACAAAAAAAAAAAAAAAAAAAAAAAAAAAAAGAAAGAATTCCTCCCATAGGCTCATGTATTTGAATGCTTAGCACTGGGGAGTGATACTATTTGAAAATAATGGAAGGTGTGGCCTTGTTGGAGAAAATGCACCACTGGGTGCCTTGAGGTTTTAGGGTGTAGCTTTTGATTACTCCAGCACCACGAATGAGTGCCACCATGTTTCCTGCCTTGATGATAATAGACTAAGCCTCAGAAACCATAAGCAAGCCCCCCCCCCAAAATGTTTTCTCCTACATAGTTGCTGTGGGGGCTGGAGAGATGGCTGAGCAGTTAATAGCCCTGGCTGCTCTTCCAAAAGCCTGGGATTCAATTCCTAGCACTCACACAGCAGCTCACAACTGTCTGTAACTCCAGTTCCAGAGGATCTCACACAGACATACGTGTAGGTGAAACACCAATGCACATAAAAATCTACACAGCAGCTGGGACTGGAGAGATGGCTCAGAGGTTAAGGACACTGACTGTTCTTCCAGGGGTCCTGAGTTCAATTCCCAGCAACCATATGGTGGCTCACAACCATCTAAAATGAGATCTGGTGCCCTCTTCTGGCATGCAGGAGGCATACATGGCGGCAGAACACTGTATTGTATATGTAATAAATAAAATCTTTAAAAAAAAATCTACACAGCAATAGAACAATGACTAGCAGAATGAATAGAAGTGAACAGAGCTGTGGAGCCCTGGGAGGCACCATCAGACCTACAATGCTTAATGGGAGGCTCAGAAGATGAGAATGGACAAATGAGTATATTTAGGAAAAATGATAAAGAACATACCAAATTTGACGTACTATCCAAAACACTAAATGAACTTCAAACAGGAAAAACTAAAAGGGAATCATTAACGGTCATTTCATAATCCAACGGTCAAATTCAAGACCAGGAAAAGGACTTGCAAGCAGCCAAGTCACAGCCAAAATAGCACAGATGGTGGATGATCAGCTGCAGGATGAAGACAGACAATCAGGAATTCCTATCCCTGAAGATGAAAGGGAAAGCACCACTTGTGGGCTGGGATTGTGGAACTCTGGGGAAGTGCCTCCACTCCAGTGACACACACCAAGCTTGTTTAGATCACTTAATGTCTCTGAAACTGTTCCATAGGCATCAACAAGTAAGAATAACCAATGAAACCACTCAAACTCACTGGGTCAGTAAGTACCTATGGCATGAACAGTCTACTCCTCATGTCACTGAGCCCTCAGAACAGATGCTGCACCCCAAAAGGTGTGGCTAAGTTTTGAGGACCCCTCTTCTCAGATCTGTCAAGGTTTAAGGGTACTACTAGAAGGACGTGTCTTTTCCAGCTGCAGGTTGATGAGATTACATGCCTGTTTGGACAGGTCCCCTACCTCACTCACAGTTCTCCCAGGTAGAAACTAGACCTAAGGCCAGAGCATGCACGTTGAGAGTGGTTAGCTGGGAAGTACAGTAGTTACTGCACTGCTATGTGTCCTGAGCGTCTGTCTACAGGAGACATAACCCATAAGCAAAGCAAGCACTTGAGGTCAAACAAGTCAGAGATCTCAAGCCTCCCCCCGCCCCTCCCCCCAGACAGCGCTGCCCAGACGGGAAAAGGAAGCTGAGAAGAGCCCTTTGGGATCAGAACAAATGGAAGACTAACTCAAATCTGCTCTTGCTCAGTTTACCCACTGAAATACCGCAAGCAAAAGCAGCCCACTACTGGCCACACATTTAACTGGATCTGACTACCCAACAATCTGTTGTGTCTCAGGGCATTGTATAAATAACAGCAAAACCAGGCAGTAGTTGCTGGTTCTTTGATGCTGGAGGTGACAACTGTGAGGAAGTGAATGTCATCAAGAAGAAGCAGTCTTTCTGAAGAAATCACAAGCAAGTAAGTGACTCAGCCACCACTGACTCCCACAATACACTAGTAACAAAAAAATGCAAGACGTACAGAAACTGTGAAGGATGACTCACACATGGTGGACAAGGAGGAGCAATAGAAACTGCCCAAGAAGGACAAGACAATAAATTTAGCAAAAAGTATAATGTCGTAAACATGCTTTGGGATGGAGAGATGGTTCAGCAGTTAAGACCAGTTGCTGTTCTTGCAGAGGACAAGGATTCAGTTTCTAGCACCCATAGAGCAGTATGCAAGGCTATATCTCTAGTTCCAGGGAGCTGGCACTCTCTTCTGGCTTCCACAGGTACCAGGCATGCATAAGTGCCTTTTTATATATACAGGTAAAACTCATACACATACAGTAAGAAGAGATAAATATGCTCAGAGAAATAAGGAAATAACGTTTGAAGAAGCAAAGGAAGGACCATTAAACAGAGAATTACTAATGGGAAATATCCTAAGGGAGATTCTGGCTCAAACCCACCATGAAAAGATAATTAGTAAGCACAACAGTAGATCTGAGGGCAGGAAACTGATTTTTCTTTTTTGAAAATAGATGCC